CCAATCATGAAGAGCACAACAGCCAATGCAATTGCCTTGTAGGGGATTTTTGGTGGGCTCTTCTTGAACTGGATGGAAAAAACCCAAACGTTAAGCAGCTCATCTCAGTGCTGTTCCCCTACAACCGTGGCAGAGATGTGAATATCACAACCGGCAGAGGACAAGAAGAACCTCTGCTGCAGCCTCCCTACGATGAATCCTGTCCATGCATCCCCTGCTTTCTGGGGCTGCATTTACACCCATTGCTCTGATTTTCATCCCCCTCCAAATATATGAAGCTGACTCTGTTTATTAAACAAACAATCTTATTTGCAGTTGAGCTCTGTGGGTTTTCCTGAGCAGAAGGGCTAAAATTCTATGATTAAACATGGTGAGGTTGGACTTGATACCTTTTCCAACCTTTATGATTCTATGAGTGGGCATGGTGATGATGAGTCAATAGTAGGAATTTACTTGCAGAACAAAGCAGTTTTTTTCCCCACACTTTACCTGCAGGTCAATATATCCATCATCAGTGCTGGCGAGCTTGGAATATTTGACTTTGCTACTGGGAATCCCAGCAGAGAGATTCGTTCTTGATGGCATCATTACAGTGAGGTGTGGGCATCAGCTAGAACCTGGAAAACATGAATAGACCAAAAAAAAAAATCAGAGCAAACTGGGTGATAGGGTCAGATGAGGACTATGTTTATTATGGCAAGCACAAGGAGTGTCAAGCTGATACTAAGCAGGAGAAATTTATTTTCATAAGTTGCATCTTTTCAAACAAAGCTTTGTATCCAAGCCTAAAATACAAAGACATGGATATGCTTCCTCCCTGGCAGCACTCAAGGCCAGGCTGGATGGGGCTGTGAGCAGCCTGGTCTGGAGGGAGGTGCCCCTGCCTACAGCAGGGGGTTGGAACTTGATGATCTTAAAGGTCCCTTCCAACCCAAACCATTCTATGGATTCTATTATAAATGCAGAAGGCAAATTTGTCAATATTTGAAAACAAAATTAATGTAGGACGTGTTTCAAACCTCATACTGGTTCCAGAATAATATCCCTTGTGTAAATTGGCTCTACTGCACAAGGAGGTCACGCTTCCTGCTGCAGGATGTCTGAGGTCTATTCTAAATACCTATTTCTAAACAGGGTCATTAGCAAACAAACCCAAACCAGAACTAAACAAAGCAGCTTTTCAACCAGACAGATATTTTGCAATAAATCCATTTGGGAAAAAAAAAAAAAAAAAAAAAATTAAAAAAAATAAAACCAATGTGAAACGGAGCTATCATCATTGGGATAGCTTGAGGCCTGAGTCAGAGGGAGCATGAGGGGGGGAGCACTGGGTGAAGCAACCAAAATGCAGGAAGGGGCTACAAACCATAGGTCACTCCTCTATCCAGCTGCAAGGCAGGACGTGTTCAGGGCTGCACTTCATGGAGCTGCAGCAGAGCTGAGCCCTGCAGTTTCACTCCGTGTGCAGCCAGGCCGTGGTTTTGCTACCAGTAGCGACAGCAGTGCTGATTGGAGCAGGGAGGTGGGCAGAGCCAGCGCTCCTCTTCTGGGCACTGAAGGTGGATCCGACCTCACGCGGCCCTGACTCAGTGCAGAGCCCCTCAGTGAGAAGTCCTGCAGCTTCCACGCAGGATCTGTGCGTGGGGCAGCGCTCACCCTGAACCCGCTGCCTTCCCAAAGGTACAATTTACTCACTGCACCAATTCAATAACTTCTAATTTCTGGAAAAGCGTGAATAATAATAATAAAAAAGCACACGACCTCATGAGCATATATCCCAGATGATAAAGGTGCCTTTCTGCAATTGTTTGATATCCCATGAAATAGCATCTCCTCAAAGCATGCTCTCCACTGGAACAAAATAAATCCTTCCTCTCCCTCAGTGCTAACAGAAATTCTTTTTGCAATCCTCTCTGCTCACTACGCTTTGGTAAATCCCCCTTTAATGCAACTTTTATTTAAAATAATAAATTAAAAAGAAATAACAAAAACGCAACACTGTGATCTTAATCCCTCCCACCTCCTTAACGTGAACTTATTTTGCTTCTTATGGAGGGGAAAAAATACGCATATCCCCCCCATTGAGAGTGGGAATGCCGCCCACCTGCGGGGCAGTACCAGCCCTCCTCAGCTCCTTACCCATCCCTTTTTTTAGCTCTCACCCATCCCTTTTTTCCCCTCAGTGTGCCCAAATGCCCTTGGAGACTCCCACGAGCCCTCGGGGTAGAAGTGCAGAAAGGAAGCAGGCAGAAGAGAACAGCACATCCAAACCTAACAAAGATCCCCACTCGGCCCTGTTGTGCCCTGGGATTGTTTATGCTCCCTGTCTCATTGCTCATGGGCTGATTCCCAGTGGCCTCCCAGGGATTACTGCTGATTTACACTAACTGTCCCTGCACGCTATTAAGGGCAAATGCACAACACTCCCTCAGACTCCACATTAGGGGCTACATTCAAGCCCAAGCAAATGTAGCGCTGCAGGCCAAAGTCCTATTTCTCCCCCAGAGATCCACAACACACTTCTACCCTCAGTGCCCACATCAGGGAGGGGAGCAGGATGTCATTTCCTGCCCCGCGCAGAGCTCAACGCAGACGCAATACACCCAACCAACCCCCAAGGCCCCCCCATGGATTCCCTGCTGCTAAACCCACATCAGGCCCATCAAATCCCCCAAAATCTGAGCTCTGCGAGGTTACAACGAGCAGAGTTACCTACGGCTCACGCTGCTGCTCAGAGCCATCGCTGCCAGCGCCGCTTCCCGGCCGCACCAACCCAGGAAGTTTATTTCGATGACGGCTGTTTCCTTCCAGGTTACGGCGGCAGCTTTGCTGGCTCAGCTCTGCGTGGTTTTTCGGAGCCTGGCGCTGAGGGGCGGCAGCAGGAGGGCTGAGGGAGCTGTGGGCAGGCAGTGCGGGCACATCTGCTCCATGCAATCCGCTGTGCGTTGCCCTGCGCGTAAAAGGAAGCACTGGGTATCGCTGAGCTGCAGACAGCACAGCCCTCAGTCACTCAGACACATCTAACAGGCAAACCAGAGCCAAACGGTATTAAAAGCACCTGTATTAATTGGGAGGAATCACAGCTGGGATTCACTCCATCCAACTGCTCCCAGAAAAGCAGCCGAGGGTGGTTGCAATTCCTGCAAGTCAACACAACATGCACTGATCTGCCACCCGAAAATTGATTTCTCCTGAAATTGCCAAGGATCCTCCATCTCCTACTTTTCCTCAATCAGACATTTTTGCAAACAAAGGCCTCAAAAGTTTCCCTCTTCCAACAGAGAGAAACAAACAGCATTTTACTGCACCTCCCCATTTATTTTTAAGAGGGAGCAGCTGTTGGTTTTTCAGCACTGTTGTGGCAACGGCAACGTGAATATTCATACATTAAGCTGATGCAAGGGTTTAGCAGAAGGCACAGCCACAACTCAGAAGTGCACAGATGATGCTGAAAGGTGTTTCCTACTATGAGAAACAACTCAATCTCATTGCTACAGCAATAAGTAATGAAACCATGTGGCTTATTTTTATTTATGGGTAGAACAGCAGACATAGGAGGTCAGTGACCCCCACTGCAGCAGGAGGCGGCACAAGAAGCTATTTGCTTCTAATGCAGCACATCACTGACATTGAATCCTCCTGACTGCCATCGTGGGTGTTTAATTCCCCTCTGAAGCACTTAATTGCACTTGGTAGTACAACAGTAACCCAGTGTGAGCAGCATTACATTTGGGGTTAAAAAACCCATCCCTCCTATGGACAATTCCCATGCACAACTGAGCTGCTGCTGCAGTTTTGGGCCAGCTGTTGCTGTCAGGCGTTTCCTGAAGGTCAGCAACATCAACACTAAGAGAATAAAAGTGGCGCACTCAGATACGAGGAAGCTCAATATGAGATCTAAGACACTGTCCACAGAAAAAGATGTGCTGCCGAAAGCTTAGAATGAAAGGCACGAGGAATTCCCACCAGCAGCCTGTGAGCAGGAGCTGCTCTGTGAGCAGCCCTGTCATTCTGACACAGCAGAACTGGTTTCCTGATCAGCACTGCCACCCTGCAAAGGTCTTCTGCTCCACCAGCGTTACCCAGCTGCCCTGCTTGGGGCACTTTGCACACAGGACATTGTGGATGATCACTGGAAACAAGCACCTTCTATAAGAACAATGAACACAGTATTAAGACTGCAAGTACTCAATACTGATCAAGCCAACAAATTGCTCCTGTGTTTATCTTCATTTGTGGTGGAGTCACTGAGGATGAAGGGCAAGGATTTAGGTGGATAGTAGCAACGTAGTTACTGAATAAAAACACTTTACTCAGAACTTCTCAAACCCAACTTCCACCATCAAACCACAAAGCACACTGCAAACTTGGCATCTCCATGAACGGTAACTTAAGTAAAACATTCTCCACGTAGGTGACTGCAGCACATTTGCCACACGTGGGGCAGACACAAGAACAGAACTCATGCAGAGCTGCTGAGGAATGGCTTAACATCAAGAGAGCACTAACAGCAGAGCCGAAAGCAAGACTTTCCAGCCCAGGTTTAAGGCACTATGGCACCACAGCATTTGTCTTCATACTGACTTCATTGAAAGCACGGGTGGCAGCCCCAGGATCAGTCCATGCTGGAACAGCTGAGTCTCCAATATGCAAATCTTGTTTACTTTAAGGAAAACATTTCACAAATCTGTTCCACTGGAACAGGTTGCCCAAGGAGGCTGTGATGCCCCATCCCTGCAGGCATTCGAGGCCAGGCTGGATGTGGCTCTGGGCAGCCTGGGCTGCTGGTTGGCGACCTGCACACAGCAGGGGGTTGGAAATGGATGAGCGCTGTGCTCCTTTGCAACCCAGGGCATTCTGTGACTCTAAACCTCACTAGCTTAAAGCAGCATCACCGATGAATTAGTTAACTGAGGTTTCCTATCTCCTTCAATTCAATGCTTTAACAGAGGGACTGTACACCAGCACCTTTTGACAAAGCAGTGATTGATCTGCTCACACTGAAGTAGGATAAAACCATGAAGTCATTTTTTATTTCCACATTTTAGTTAGAATACCAGCTTCAAAAATAAATGAAGGGGAAAATAAACTTGTGGCATACTTAAACAGCAACCCTAACCAACTACAGTTCCACAGGTGAAAATCTAGGAACCATCTTTACTGAAATTAAATATTGCACTCCTTTAACACACGTTAAGAGGAGTATTTCACCTAAAGACAGCATCTAAAAAATTATTGCAAGTATAGGCATAGGCTAGAAAAAAAATTCCTATTTCAAATGACATCAGTATAGCAAAACAAGTTGAAAAATATTTACAGAGATATCTACAGAACATCCTTAACAGTGCTGACTCGATGCTGCAATGCACTGACATTTCTAGTAACGTGGAAGACAGCAGACTTCCTTCTCCAAGCTGGTTGTGCACCCCAAGAGCTGAGCAGATCTCCCCCTCAGTCCCAGTGCAGTTAAGAGCCTTCTTGCTGGTCTTCAATCTTTGGAGCCAGGTAGTATTTTAAATGTCCCATATCAGCGATCTTGTACTCCACAACTGGCAAAGACAAAAGGGCATTCAGAAGTTCTACATAAAAGCAGTTAAATACATTCCTAATAGAGTCTGGATAGTGGCAGGACCAGGGGGAATGGTTTTAAACTGAGACACGGGAGGTTGAGGTTGGATATCAGGAGGAAGTTTTTCACACAGGTGGTGAGGCACTGGAACAGGTTGCCCAAGGAGGCTGTGGATGCCCCATCCCTGCAGGCATTCGAGGCCAGGCTGGATGTGGCTCTGGGCAGCCTGGGCTGCTGGTTGGCGACCTGCACACAGCAGGGGTTGGGACCAGATGAGCACTGTGGGCCTTTGCAATCCAGTCCATTCTATGATTCTAAGGGAGATTCTTTTACAAGGTTTTCAAGAAGAGCTGCTTCTACTTACCCAGAGGAACATCTGCAGACATGCTGAGTGTTACTGTAGGTGACAGGGGGGTGGCTTTGGTAAAAAAGTTCAAATACCTCAGAGCAAAAGTCAACTGGACTGGCTCATTCATTTCTATTGTAACCTGGAACAACATCAGCCAGATCAAAGTTTGGTAAACGCAAGTTGCAGTGAGTTTCCCCAAACTTCTCAAATCAGCATCACAGACCTGGACACCTCATGCACAGTTCTAGTCTCCGCTCTGCTCCATGCAGGGCTGCTTCAAACCCCACAGCTAAGAAAGTGCCAGCAATGATTCACTGACTCTGTTCTATACATCAGAGAAATACTGGATCCAGTGATCTACTTTAGCCCCAGTCACATCAGTAGAAACCTCAGCACAGAAGACACCACAGTAACCATTAACATTCAACTTACAGCTTCTTCCTCTTTGTCCACGTTACTGGTCTGTGACAGCTTGATGTTTCCATTTCCTAACTCTCCATTAGCTGAAAATTTCACACCGTCTTTTGCACAGGAGATGACAACAGCATCACCAATGTGGCTGAGGTCTCTACAGATGCGTGCAAATTCAGCAGAAGGCATTTTCACAACACAACTGTATTCTTGTTCCTGGAAAAGTAGTGATAAACTTATACCAAGGAGCTTTAAAACTTTTGAATTCTAGGTTTGTACATGAGGAAAGCATGCTGTCCTAAGAGTGTGTGCAGTCATTCAAACAACTACTTACTGGAATTCCAAGCTGTTCCACATCGAGATCCATAAGCTTCATCTCATAATCAGAAACCTTTTCCTGATCTAAGGAAACAAAGCAGTTTTGACCAAGTGTTTCAGAGAAGTTATCACCTCGAGTTTAAATTTTGCCCAGTTTTTCTTCCAAAAGAACAAGGCCTTAATTATGACAACAGGATTCACCTTACTTGGTGACCTAAAGAGCCTTCTGGATGCTACTAAAGGAACGCAGGCTGCCAAGATGAACCTGTAAGCACTTTTACATAGCTCAGGGATGAGTATTAGGTAGATTTCTATACCTCCAAAGCATTTTAAGTATTTATATACCATGCAATTCCTCCCACTCTTCACAACAACCATGCACTGCTTGGTCTATGAAGATTGCCTTTGTTTTCTGGTAGCACACAGTGTCACAAATACCACTCACTTGGTGCTTCAAACACGAGAGCCAACGTATCCGCATTGTCTTCTGCCCTAAGAGTTATGATGTCTTCATTTCCAGCACACTTCAGTATTTTAGACATGCTAGGGGACAAAAGGCAAACCACTACAGATTACAGAGCACGAACACCCTCCCATAACCTACCAGCGTTAAAACACACCTAACGTATCTGAAATCACAGAACTTGCATGTTTTCCGTTATTCCTACACGTTACCACTAAACCCTTCTAGGTGCCCGCTGCCTCCAAGCTCTGCGCCTGCTGCACAGACTTTAGCATTGAGTAGAAGCTGCAGACAGGTAAAAGGAGCCGGGCCGGGGCGTGCAGTGAGCGCCGGGGGGGGGCGGGGCGGCAGCGCCATTTTTCCCCGCCAAACTTTCCCGCCACAGCGCGGCGCGCGCCCAGAGCCGGCAGTGACGTCACGGCTGCCGGCGGGCGCCGCGAAAAACGGCGCGAGAGCTGTGAGGAGAAAGGGGGAGGGGCGGGGGGGCCTGGAAGCGGAGCCGAGCACAAAAAAACCGCTTCCACACCGCGTGAGGCCCAAACCGCACATCTTCCCCTTATATCCCCCCGCCCCAGTAGGGCTCGCTCCCTTCAATGCTTGAGGCCGGGTCCGGCCCCTGCGCGGTCCCACCGCCATTACCTGTTGAGGTTGACGCCCATGGCGATGTTACGGTCGCAGCGGTAGGTGTCGAAGCCCTCAGAACGCAGCGTGAGCTGCACCAAAGAAACGTGCGAGGAGTCCATGCTCTGCAGGCTGATGCCGCCTGATCCTAGGTCCCAGCACGCCTCGGTGATGAGGTCTTTCAGGGCCTCCAGCACCCGCTTGAGCACCGAGCCCTGCACAAGCCGCGCCTCAAACATCCTGGCGGCAGCAGCGAAAACAACCACGACACAGAGCAGGACACGGCCGCCAACTGCAGTAGCCCGCCAAAGTCACCCTTATATAACCTACGCCCCGCCCACCGCCGCACCGAAGTCAATCGCAGCTCTCCCCTCTCGCTCTGCGATGCCCTACCCACGCTCATGTGACAGATGCTCACCTCTCCGGCCAATCGCGACGCCGTTTCTACACCTTAATCCCGCTTCCTAACGCCAATGGAACCAATCAACACACGTGTTATACAGCACCGCCCCCAGCACCGCCCCGCCTCGCCGTGAAGCTATGGCGGTGGGGCCTGCGAGGCCTGACAGGAACTCCGAGCCTGAGCGAACACCGAGAGGAATTCCCTCTCTGAAACAAAATCGACACGACTCAGGCAGCGCCCATGCAAGGCGCTCTCCGGCCTGCTCCTCCCACCCTGCGCTCAGGGCCGTTTTCCCTGCTCCACCACCAGCTGCGCACCCGCGCCCACCCATCACAGCGGCGGCCGCCTCGCATCCGGGTACACATGGGCGTGGCTTAGTCCCGCCCCCCGTGGCCATTCTGCGGCTGTGATTGGCGGGCTGCTCCCGGTCCTTTCCCTGTCGCTGGCTGCGGAGGGCGCGCAGCGGCGGCGGTGCGCGGAGCAGAGCTGCGGGTCGGGATGAGCGAGCTGCGGCAGCGGCTGTGCGGGGAGCGGGAGCCCGAGGAGAAGGTGGGTAACGGCTGTGGCATGGCGAAGCCTTCTGCTGAGGCGTGGCGATGCAGCGGGCCGGGCCTCGGTTCTGGGGGCTGAGTGGGAACCCCTGGGGCGGCCGGCGGGAAGCGGAGGCCCGGGTCGGGTGCAGCTCCTCGGGGGCAGTTCCTCGGGTGCAGGGCGATTCCACGCTCGGCAGCATTTCGTAGAGCATCCCGAGCTGCAACGGCCCGCGGGGCTACTCCTTCAGCAGAAATAGCAGTGGTTTAATGGGATTTAACGGCGATGGTTTGCTGAGGATCGGCCGTGGAGGGGAAATCTGATGGTTTTCCTGTAGCGTCCGCTCTGCTTCGGCCACAAACGCGATGCTCGGAACTTGGCATCGCCCACAGGAGCTGCGATGTCCCATCACGGAGGTGCCCGAGGCTGGTGGGGGGCACCCAGCACACTGGAGGGAGCTCTCAGGTCCCTTCCAGCCCAACCGTGCTGTGATTCCGTGGTTCTGCGATCTTTAAGGACCTTTCCAACTCAAACCTACATTATCCCATGGCTGTTTGATCTTTCAGGACCTCCCCAGCCCACTCCATGTTTTTTTGATCTTTAAATATCCTTCCAACCCAAACCCAAGCCCTGTGATCTTTAAGGAGAGTTCTGACCTGAACCATTTCAGTTTTAGAGCCTTTAAGCTCCCTTCCCACCCCAGCCATGCTGTGATCCTCTGCTTTGCTCATGTCTTACTCAAGTGTAAAGGAACAAGAGGAATAAGCAGTCCAAAAAAAGTTTCTCTATGCAGATTATAACCACAAAATCACAACTGGAGGAAAAAGTAGTTCTTTGCTGCTTTCCGGTTCAATGCAGGTGTTTTGGGGCAGCCCAATGCTTGCCCTTAGCAGCACTGTGTTGACATGATTCCTCTGCTGATGCATGAAGTATTCAGAGAAGCAAGAAATCCTCATGCAAAAGTCTCTTCTTCAATCAAAATGTTACATTTAATGTTGCTAAATATTACATTTAACACTGTTTTAAATGCCAGGCTAACACCTGTTGGGAGTTGTGTTTGAGTAAACTTGCTGGTTCCGATGTGCTTAGAGTGGGTGTTGGAATGGAGAGTACAGGCAGCATCAAGAATGGATTTCCTTCACGTAGATCTGAGGCTTTGCCTTTTTTTGGCTCTAACAGCTATCCAACATCCAGATCTCCATAAAATCCCTATTTCATTGCTGTGCCCAGAGCAAAACTTAACCTCTGGGTAAGTGCATTTGTATCCCTCAGAAGTGACTTTGCAGCAGAAAATCTTCAGGGACTTTTATATTCCAGAACTTTGGTGGGAGTTGGAAGGTGTCCCTCAGAAGCCTGAGAGTACAGTGCTGCTTCACTGGCATGCAAACAAACTCCCTCAGCCAAGCTGCGATCTCTTTAGCTGCTTGTGATGTGTTCCTAAGGAAGGTCAGAGGGCCGCTATTTTGAGTACAATCCTGTTTTCTTCAGGCAAGTACGCTTTTTAAACACATTGAGCCTCCTAAAGGGCTTCCTAATATTGCCTTGGAGTTGATAACTTGAAGTGTCCTTAGGAGGGAGCGTAATATCTGTGTCATGCTGCTCAGCTTAAAGGAGTTGCAAGGGAAAAAAAAAAAGATGTTTTCAGCTAGTGAAGAGCAGCTCCTTGGAGGTGCTGAGCATGATGTCTCCTAACAATAGCAGGCAGCTGCAGGAGGCAGAGAATTTCCCCAAACCGCTACAGCAAGCCTGGTAGGAGGTTACCTGGTAACAGCAGTACTGTATTAGAAATACTGTACAGCACTGCACTTCCTATGGCAGTATGCTTCCATGGCAGGCTTGTCTTCCATGACATCAAACTGCTGCGTTTTAGAGCTTGGTAATGTCTGGCAGAGGCTGGGAATAATGGTGGATATAAAGCCAACACAGCAGAATTTCGTGTGCTTTGTGTGCCCAATGCTGGTATTGCTGTCAGGAGAGGAGATCCCTGTTTCTGCTTTGTCATTCTGTTGGCATTGCCACAGAAACTAATTCAGCCATGCATATTGTATTGTACAGAAACCTATCCGCTGAAAAGAACTCTCAGCTTCTTGATAGGAACAAGTTAAAAGGAGATGTAAATGTCCAGGCTGGTTTGAAGAGTAGACTTGGAAAGTTGTGTTTTCGACTCGTTTTCACTTTGCGCCGTTTTGATCACGGAAAGGAGGAGGGTGGTTTCACTTTCTGGTCCCATAACCCTTGCACAGTGTCACAGCTTTGATGCTGTCCTCCCCTTTGATGCGGCACAATGCGTGTAGCTGGAAGTGCTGCTGCGGTTGAGACTGTCATGCAAGAACGTTTTAAAATCAGTTTTGTAGAGCTGTTGTGCAGTCTTTGTTTCAATACAAACAAGGCAAACCTCTGTTTGATGAGTGAACTCCATCTGATCTCTCCAGTTAAAAAAGCAGGGAAACTTGTGCTTGGTGCCCATTCTTTTTGCACAAACAGGTGCTGTTAACTGTTGCCATTAATGTTGTTGGGAGATGATTGATACAAGTTCTGTTTCTTGTTACTAGATAAACACTTTGCAGACGGGTTCCTTTGCATGGCAGACCCATGCTTTGTGTAAAACTGAAGTTCGGAGCCTTCTCTGCTGTGTTGTGCACATCCCATGAAATCACATTTCTATCTTCCAATTTTCAGATTGAATTGCGAAGGTGTAAAAGAAAATTGTTTCTTTTCAATTCATTCAAATGCACGAATGGAGCCCCAAACACTTCTGCCCTTCTGATGGCATTCTAAGATCACTCTTCAGCAGTGACTTGGGAACAGAAGGTTTTCCCATTCCTTTTTTTCTCTTCTTGTGATAGGACGTGGCAGTGGTGGCTGCCTGAAATCCAGAGAGGATCTCGACATCATTCCCATGGAAGAGCAGAGGGCAGGGCTATTTAGAGGCAGGCTTATCTGGGCTGCAGCTCACACCCTTACGTCACTTCTGGTTGTGTTTACCCACCTCTTTGTCACAGGCAGTGGCAGTGTCTTGCTGGAAAATGCTGTCTCTTTTCAGAGGGTGGGAGCTGCAAAAGGCAATCAGTGCAGAAGCGTTTTTCTGTACTGGTCCATGCAGGTGGATTTCTTGGGCAGTGTTTGGATACGGTGTTCCACCCACAGCTGCCAGGGATGCTCATTTCTTGTAAAATAGTGAGTGCAAGGAGTGTTGCTTTGATGGCACAAGGCCTTGAGGAGCAAGAGCAAAAGGTTTCCCTACTTAGGAAAAGGTTCAATGAAGAGGACTTTTGTTCTTTTTCATGGCTCAACCCAGCAGTGGACTGATGAGGTGACTTCTTGTCTGGCTACATCTGTTTTGTGTTATGAAAGGCAATGGGCTCTGCTGTCCAAGCCTGGTGATTGTTGCACTTCCAGGCATTTTGCAAGCTTTCCCTTGTGGTCAAAAGTGTTCTAAAGATGCTGAGCGTTGGAATGCCAGTGCTGAGGGTGAGGGGCTGTGTGCTGGGAGGGCTGCAGGAGCTCCGGGTTTGGCTCAGGGCGGGGTGCAGGATGCAGAGAAACAGCGGTGCAGGAGCCCTGCTGCATTATGGTAGCCATGTCTTCAGAAGTCTGTTAATTTACGTTTGTTGGAATTACACTTAAGTAGACTGGGCTGAGTCCTGCCTTTGATTGCTTCAAATAAAGCCAGCAGGAGTGATGGGTAGAGGATGAGTAGAGGAATGGGAACAAGATGGCATCACAGGCAGCAAATTAACTGAACTGGTAAGATGTTTTTCGGGTTAGGTCTTGGAAAAACATGTCTAACTCTGAAGGAATTGAGGGTCAGAAGCCATCAGCCATTGCAGGCTCTCATTTCGGAGGACAAAAATAGACTTTTCCTGTACTAACCTTCTGATGCAAATAGAGTGCGTGTTGGTGCAGAGCTGTTTGTTCTCTCTCTCATTTCTCACAGCTCTTCCAAATAAGAGATCAAAATGTTTGTGTGCAGACGTGGCTCCGAGGTGGGGCAGAGCTGCTTTCAGACAACGGATCCCAGAGGTGTTTGGGAGATTTATGTCTTGTTTCTGTCTCTGCAGGGATGGTGAGGGCTCAATGAATGCCGTGATAGGAGAGTGATGTCACGTAGAGCCAGGAGAACCCAGCACTGAAGCCTCCAAAACACCCCTTCAAGTGTTACAAGGGAGGAGGCAGGTTGTGTTCTTAACAGTAGGAAGTTCTGGGGGAATGCCAGAAGTAACAACCTATTTTTGTGCTCTTTTGTATACAGTAGCTTCTCCAAAGGACACAAAGCCTGCTGCATTTACCTTTCTTGATTTCCTGGAATATACAGAGCCCAGAGTGTGTGCTGAGCTGGGGACCAGGCAGAGGATTAGCCAGATGAGTCACAGGGATGTGCAACTCTACATCAATCATATTCGCTGACACTGAGCTCAGGTTCTTCTGTCAGACAGCTGTTCTGCTAAATGCAAACTATGCATACCTCTGATCACATCCCGCTGGCAAGCTGAGCTTGCTTGTGTTCAAAATAAAGTGAGTGGCTTTGGGAACATGAGATGGCAGGGGGTGTTTTCTTACTTCTTTCAGCCTCTGTGCAAACATTTACCCTTTTTTGATGTTATCTGCTACTGGTCTCAGCGTATAAGCATGCCCTAATTTCTGTGCGTGCTTTCCACTGGAGCTTGTTTTTTTGGGGGGATGGGGAAGGGAGTCCCATATCAACATAGATGAAAACTGACCTTCATCACTGAGTTTTGTTTTGGTTTTGGGACAAGATCCAGCAGGCACCAACTTGGTGGGTGTTTTGATGGAGGAACGTGAGAAACTTGGATTTAATTGCTCTGAGGACAAGTGCACAGCATGACAATTCAAGCACGTTCCTGGACCTGCCCAGGACGTGAGATGCTTTGTGCCCCAGCCAGTATTCTTTTCTCTCATGGTGTACTGGCACTTTCCATCACTGTGTTTTGTTAGCATGGCGGAAAGTCTAAATAAAGCAGTGCTTTGCTTCAAGGAAGGTGCACAAAGAATAGAATTTCTTCAACTAATTTAATCTACCAGCACTGAATACTGAACTGTATCTCTGTACTGGGCAGAAAATGTTTGGCAGGGAGATAGCTCACTTGTTTCTATGGCAACTGAGATCATGTCACGGATACTTGGGGGGGAAAAAAAAGTGCTGCTGCATGAAAACCCTTTGGAAATGTGAACACAAATTTCATATCTCTTGCTTACAGGAGTTAAGCTGTTTAAGGCAAATTATGACAACTCACTTCTCCACGATTCTTATCTTTAGGGTGGTAAAATATTTGTCCACAAACGTTTTATCCCTGCATTATTTATTCTCCTGTTTCTTAAGGAACTTTTCAGTGTCTGAGTTGATGAATTGAATGAGTGCTGGGCTTGTCTGTGGTGCTGGCCAAGCAGATCTGCACCTAAGAGGTCTCTTAAAGGTTCAAGGAGAGAGCACAGGCCAGTGGTTATGGAAGGAGATGTCAGGATGTCTGGGTTAACTCACTCCAAGTAGGCTTGTGTTTCAGTTGCAGAAATAGGAGAGAACAGCACAGAAGAGGCATCAGGAACATGACAGGAAACCATCTATTAGACACAGCTTCCCTGAAGCGCTGGTTGTGCCAGCATTACTGCACTCTTTGTTTGCAGTCTATGGCTTGAAGCAGCCCAGACCCACTCCTCGCAGTCACAACCTCTTCATGGAAGCATCAACTCTGTAATGAGCTTAAATTTTCGCTCTGCCCATCCTAACAGCTGCTAGCTTGGCTCTTTGCAGTGTCCCATTCTTCTGTCCCTTGAGCTATGCAGTTGCTTTTATCCTTCCTATTCTTGGCCAGGAGTGAAAGAGAAAAAGGCATCCGTGCTCTTTCCCTTTCTTTTGGTCCCTGAGCACGTTGTGAAACTTTTGATCCTCTGCACCACAGACAAGGAACAATTTGCCTGCAGTGCTAGTGCTTTGGGAATAAGATGCAGGAATGTTGGCTTGGGTCTGCATTCTCATTTCAGCATTTAGTTCTTTTATCGCATTGCCATTGACTTGTGCAATTTGGTAAATACTTGGACTGCATTAGGATTCTACTTAAGATTTTTGATTTTAGCTTGCACAGATAATGGCTGTTCCTCTAAGTACCTAAGCACTTCCATACTCATTTAAATGGAATCGGTCACTTCATTTTTCTTTCCTAGATCCCTATTCCTAAAGGTAATTTAGAAGTCCAGAAGGAGAAACTGAACTAAAGCCAAGCTGTATTTCCTCATCCCCTCACGAGGGCAGGGAGAAGTGTTTGTTTTAGCTCTCCTCCTTGTCCTCAGCCCATGGGAATGGGAAGCTGCAAGCACAGAGCCCAGCAAGGAGGAGGCACAGCGGGATGTGATGGGTGCAGTGCTGGCTCTTCGCATGCCCGCGGAAGCACCATTGTATTTTTAGCTGCCTCCATCTGACAGCCTGTAGCTGTCCTGTCTGTTCTAAGAACCTGGCCTGCAGCCACTGCTACCTTACAGCTGGGGAGCAATTATCCTTTCCTGCCTTAACTAAGAGAAATGCCACTCAAGTCTCATTGCTCCGGTGAACTACAAATACTCTCTTGATTTGGATACAGCAAACCACTCCCAGCATTTATTTTGGTGGGGTCTCTGCTTTCTGATTATGGGAGAGCCCAGAGGGCTGCAGCATTCCAAAAGGATGAGGTTGTGTTGTTTGCAGAACCCCCAGCACTTGGCTTCCTCCTGTTTTTTTCCTCCTCTTTTTCCAGGAGTTTAAAGTAGGTCTGAAGCCAAATGCCCTGGACTCCACCTGCTCATTGCTCCCCAGGGCTTGGCATTTTCCTTCCTTGCTTCAAGGAGCAGAATGCTGAAGTGAGGGGCAAAACATGCCTTTTTGGGTCTGTCCTCTGTTCCTGATCTGGGCTAGAGGATAAACTGCTCGGGAGGGGGAGGTTGCTTGTAATCTTTTTTCTACCACTGGTCTTCAGTAACCTCTTGCCTCACCTTTATTTGTTTACCCTCATATGCAGGACTTTGTGCTGGGCTCTGGAGCAATAATACAGGGTGCAGGGGCAGCAGGTGCTGCCTCTTTCCTCTACACGTTTCTCCTGTGGCCAGAGAGGATGGCTGGGCCTGAGTGATAAGCCATGTTCTTCCTCTTCAACTTTCTGAGGATGGGCTTGGAGTTATTTTTAGTGTCCATGTATTAAGTTAGCACTTGAAAAGTCTGTCTGGAAGCCTTGAGCCTGTCTACTTGGAGGCCTTTCTTTCTGTCTAATTTGGGCAATGCTGCATTCTTGGAGATGTGCCTGGGGATTGAGAGACCTTGTAAAAATTCCTGCTAACAAGCTCATGTCGCTTGTGCACTTGCTGTATTTGAGATGCTTCTTAATCAACTGCAAAGCGTTTTTAACTGTTCAGAGGAAATGGATCCTTTCCTGTAGTCACTGCTGAGGATGCCAAAGAGTAAAGTGCATTGTGGAATCACCTAAAATGTGTAATGTTCATGCTTTAGGTGACTGTTTTCCTGTCCTCTTCCTCCCCTGTTTGCAGAAGCAGAATGGCACTAGGCATTGCATCCTGGGGACTGCTGAGTTTCTTCACTCACACAGTCATGGGTTTGGAAGGGATCTTGCAGCTCCCCACCTTTCTTGTGGGATGGTTGCCCCCACCAGTTCAGGCTGCCCCAGGTTCCATCCAGCCTGGCCTTGGGCATCTCCAGGGATGGGGCACCCATAGCTCCTTCTGTGGGCCAAATTCATCGTTGTCACTGTACCTAGCAAAGCTTTTCTCTCTCTTTAAATTGCAGGAATCAGAATCTGAGAACAAGCTGGATGGAGAGACCGCATCAGACAGCGAAAGCAAGTCTGAATTTGGAGGATCGCCCCCTGTGCCAACATCAGATGACACTCCAGAGGTCCTGAACAGGGCTCTCTCCAACCTGTCCTCAAGGTAGCCCCCACTCAGCATTGTTCTGCTCTGCTGCCAGTGCCCCTGCATTTACCATGTGGCTTTCCAAGCCCTGGAAGTGTGGTGATGGCTGCAGGAAGCTGAATGAGCAGCTCCTGGTAGTGCTGCTTTCTCCCTCTCTCACATGCAAACAGGAAGGTGTCTCTGAGGCCACAGGCAGCAGAAAGTGATGGTAACATTAGCAAGGCTAGCAGAGTGCAGTGCTCAGGGCTGCTCTGTGTGGGATCAGGGCAGAGGAGCGCTGCAGGAGGACAGCATCACTGCCTGCTTGGTCTTGACAGGTGAAGGTGAGGAGGCTTTGGTGAGGCTGACGACATTGTGTTCAGCTTTGACATCACTCTCAGCACTCAGCTGTGATGGCTTTTAACCACTAGTGTGACCTACTTGTGTAGGAGTGCATGGGGAAAAATGTGCTGGTAAGGACAAGATTTGAGAAGAAGCTGGGAATATATTCTGCAGGCTGCTTTGGGGCACAGGAAAAAGCATCTCTCTCAGGTGTTCTCAGAGAATGGGAGATGCTCAAGGCAAGATTTGTTCGACAGTAACAAGGGTACAACATGCCAAAGCCTGTGCTTCTGGAAAAAGATCTGCAGGGTTTGGTAATGATTCCTAGCTTGTCTAGGGTGTGGGAAACCTGCAGTAGAACAGGAACAGATGCCCTGCCTCTTTCAGTGTCTTTTGACTAATATTTTCTACATTTAGTGGTTTTCAGTCTTCCCTGCTAAGAACTAAGCTGTAACCTTGCAGCTGTTGCAGCCAGGCTTTGATCAGTAGAACAAGGTCTGAGGTTTCCAGGGCTCAGTGTCCTGCTTTCATGATATGCAGAGAACAGAAGTGCCATCCTGCTTCCTTACTTTGTTTTGGCTTTCTCTAACTTCTTTCTTTCTCTGTGACCTAGATGGAAGAATTGGTGGGTAAGAGGCATCCTCACCCTGGCAATGATCACCTTCTTCTTCATCATCATCTACTTGGGACCCATGGTCTTAATGACAATAGTAAGTGTTCACAGCAACAGAGGAGAAAGTTGCTGACTCCTATTGTGGAAAATATTTTCTATTTTTGAGGAAGGAGGTGTTTCAACCTCTTACATCTTGCTGCTGTCTCGTTGTGCAGGTGATGTGTGTCCAGATCAAATGTTTCCACGAGATTATCACTATTGGCTATAATGTGTATCACTCATATGACCTGCCTTGGTTCAGGACACTCAGCTGGTGAGTAGGGAGACTACTCCTCTCCCAGTGTTTGTGTGCAGCTTTACCCCATTGCAGACAGGTAGCTCCAAACTGGAGACCAGGGGATTGCCGTGTTGGCCAGTGTAATATGTTAGCAGCACTTGTAAGGGAAAAGCCTTCTCTAAATTGTGATCTATTTTGGTAGAACTTGTGCTGATAAAATTTATCCCATTGTTTGTGAAGCATGAATGTTTGACAGTCACCACTAAGTGACAGACATGGTTGCTGGGATGGGTGTTTGTAGGTGATTGTGAAGCAGGGCTGAACGTTGAGAAGCTCTGGCTGCCAGAGGGAAGCTGGGGAGAGAGCAGGAGCAGTGCTTTTAGGGTGCATGGGTGGTGCTTTTGGCATGCAGGAGTTCACAGAGGCCTGTTGAGGAGTGCCACCTAAAGGCAGGTGCTCTTTGTGCATCAGAAGGCCAATACAATCAAACCATAAAATCCATTGCAGAGTGGAGCTGAGTGATGCTGCCACTACTTTATTTCTCACCATTTAGAAATGTCACCTTCATTTAAAGTTCTGCCCATCGCTTGCATGGTGATGGCTCTTTGCAGTGTATAAGAGCAATGTAAAGACTTTGGAAATGCAGAGCCACCTTCTGTGTTCTCTGGGAGCTTTTTAGGGTCCTGCTAACAAGCATCTGCCTTCTCCACAGGTACTTCTTACTCTGTGTTAACTACTTTTTCTATGGTGAGACTGTGACAGATTATTTCTTCACCCTGGTTCAGAGGGAGGAGCCCCTGCGAATCCTCAGCAAATACCACCGCTTCATTTCTTTCGCCCTCTACTTAACAGGTAGAGACCACATTTTCTGCTTTTAAACCTGACTGGGCTGGAACTGTGAAATCTGCTTGAACTACTCTTGCCCTGAGCATTGTATACAACTCAATATCTATAGCAAATTATTTCTGTTCTTAGTGACGCTGTAACTTGACTGCTTAGTGACGTTGTAACCACAGGGTGACAAGTCCCTTAAATGAGGCTCTGTAGAATAAAACTCCCTAAACTCTATGAGACAGTTAGGCTTGATGTTTAACTATACAAGTATAATTTGTAGGTAACTGTGCCATCTCTTTGGGGGGGGGAAATACTTATTGTTGAAGAAATGTTTCCTCCATTCACTCTTTTTCTGTCTTTCACCAGGTTTCTGCATGTTTGTCTTGAGCCTGGTAAAGAAGCACTATCGCCTCCAGTTTTACATGGTATGGTTAAACAGGGGTTGGCTGCCCCCACTTGGAGGCAGAATGGAAACTGACTGCTTGAAAATGTTATGTAGATAAATACTTGCTTCTGTGCTGGCTGTGTGCTGTAATGCTGCCCCAAAGGAAAGTTGCTGTGAGCAGAATGTAGATTTGGGGAGATAATCTGACAAGATTTCCCTCCAGTCGTGAATTCTCTCTACACTGAAGGATGCTCTTAAGAAACTTTCTGCAAGCTGAGATGACAGCATTTGACTCTTGTGTTGAGGGTAGATTGCCACTGGGGTTGACTGGCTATGTTTCCCTTTTCCCAGATATCAAAGAAATCGCTCCTTTTGGCCATCATTGTGGTTAATTTTGCTTTCCAGTTTAATCAGCACACAGAGAAAGAGCTTGGATATCTATCAACCTTTTGCTTCTCAGCTAGTCAGAAGGCTGAGTGAGATATATGGGAGAGGAAAGGGCTAAAGAGCACTTGGTCTGGCAGAACTCTACCCAATGAAGTTCAGCTCTGGGCTTGAGATGAAGATGCCATAAATCTCTAGGGGTGGCTGTTCCCTGTTCCTCATGCCTCTTGGTGTTTCTTATGGTGAAGGTGCATGCTAGCACATGTGCATGAGCTGTTCTCAGTCTGAGAGGTAGCTAACAGCATCTGATTTCTGCCAGCGGTGTGTGAGCAGTGTCTCAAGGCAGGCTGGACTGCATGCTGTCTTCTCTTCCAGTTTGGATGGACCCATGTGACCTTGCTAATTGTTGTTACCCAGTCGCACCTCATCATTCACAACCTGTTTGAAGGAATGATATGGTGAGTTGCTGTGTGTTCTAAGTTGCTTTGACTTCTGCAGCCTCATATAGATTATCACAGAATCATGGAATGATTTGGGTTGGAAGGGACCCTTAAAGATCATCTTGTTCCAACCCCTCTGCTGTGAATGGGAACATCTTTCCCTAGATCAGGTTGCTTAAAATGCTGTCCAAACATTTGAACACTTCCAATGACAAGGCACCCATAAGTTCTCTGAGCAACCTGTTCTGATGTCTCACCATCCTCATGTAAAATATTTCCTCCATACATCTACTCTTACTCAGTTAAAAATTTTGTCCTGTCACTATAAGCCCTGGTAAAAAGTTTTTCTCCATCTTTCTTGTAAGCCCCTTTATATACTGTGAGGCCATAATAAGGTCTTTCTGGAACTTCTTACCACATTTTGAGTTAAAAACTTGTATTATTATTATGTTTCTTAACAAATGACCAAGGACGAAGTGCTTCCTGTTCAGAATAGAAAAACAAAATATTGAGCAATTCCTCGGGTACTTAGGACTTGCTTTGTGCAGAGAGCTGTATGAAAGCATCTGCAAATTGTGGTGCATGGACATCTCAGGCAGTGCTTGGCCCATTTCGGTGCCTTCTCTGCCCACTCATATTTAGCAAATGGACAGGAGAGTGCTGCTAAGCACTTGGTTGTGGGCAGCGCTGCCAGAATAGTGCTAAAAGCATCAATGTGAAAGAAAGGAGATTGCAACCTGCTGCCTTTCCCAGCTTACTCCAGCTGCTGTGCAGATGGGAAGCCCTGTTCAGGATGGGGCTCTCTCTCTCTATCTTCCCCAGACCAGCAGTGCCAGGAACTAATTTTGGCTGCTCTGAAGATTGCATGTTCCTATGCGCTCCTCAGCCAGCCCAGAGTGCTTTGTGAGCAGCCTGCTTACAGCTGAAGTGCAGCCTTTCTGGGGGAAAAGAAGGCAGCTACCTAACAGCATGCCACGTGTGACAAAAGAAAATGTGCTTAAAGCAATCTGTTCTGGGTACACAATGCGCTCTTGAGTCCAGAGCACTGGAGTAACCTCTGAGATTGTCCTGAGAGCTTCAAGTCATTGCTCCTAACGTGTGAGATTGGATAGGGAGGAATTCATGTAATAGTCCTGCAAAACAATTTAAGAGGCAGCTGCCTGCTTAGTTAAGCCTTGGACGTGTCTGGTTTGACACTTCAAATGGATTTGCTCTTCCCCCATGTAGGTTCATCGTCCCGATTTCCTGTGTGATCTGCAATGACATCATGGCATACATGTTTGGGTTCTTCTTTGGCCGCACCCCGCTAATCAAGGTTTGTAATTCTTTGGTGAACAAAAGATGCGTTTTAGCTTCTTCAGATATTAATCCTGTGTTCCCTGATCTCCAGTTTTATGGCTTTTTAGAAGTCTGAAGCAAGCCTCCAAATGAAACTTGGTGTGTGCCCCAGTCTGTGTTGCCGTGAGCATAGGTGCACAGGTTGTAATGATCCCCTTCTTTCTCTCCCTCTGGCAGCTGTCCCCGAAGAAGACCTGGGAGGGTTTTATTGGAGGGTTTTTTGCCACCGTTTTGTTTGGATTACTGGTAAGTAGCAATCATGCTGCTTGTTTCTTTGGCTTCCATATGTAAGGTGACAGAGTTTTGGCTAAAAAGTGCACACAAACTTTAAACTCTACTGGCTCTTCTCAGAAAATTTACCTTTTTCCTACTGACCTGGATTTGAGCTGGTCTATGGTTCTGTATTGCACTGTGTGCAGATCCTGCTGGTGGAGCAGGACGCTGCAGGAAGTTTTCAGTCCCCATCAGACCCTGTGACACATCCATTTCTTTAGTTATCCTAGAAACATTCTCTCTTGTATCTTGAAGGGGAGAGACTACAGCATTTCCACAGATGCTGTACACATTTGGGTACAGCCAAAGCATCGGGGGCTGCTGTTGGATAAATGCCTGTTTCAAAGGCTGTGTGGGGAACTCGCTGCTCTTGGAATATTTGTACCTGGTTTTGTGTCGATCTGTGTGTGTGGTTGCATCCCTCTGCTCAGCCAAATAGTGCTACCTGTCTCAGTTTGTTTGAGAAGGGCTCTGATTACTGGTTGTTGAACGGAGGCGGTTACTACACAGAAATGCTTACCAACTCTGCCTTCAGCCCATTACTGTTCTCGGGAAAGTAATCTTCTTAGCGAAGCTGGCAGCGCAGCTCTCTCCTCACCATGTCTCCTTGAGTGGCCTTTTCCCTTAAGAGCCCCTCTGCCTCATTGCTGAGGAAGATGTTAATCATAATTTCTCATACTGCATCTTTATTTCTCTCCTTTTCAAGCTGTCCTATGTGATGTCTGGGTATCGGTGCTTCACTTGTCCAGTGGAGTTCAACAATGACACCAACAGCTTCACAGTGGACTGTGAGCCATCAGAGCTGTTCCAGCTACAGGAGTACAACATCCCCTTGGTGCTGCAGTCTGTGGTGGGATGGGTAGGACTCTATTTATTGAGGCCTTAGGAACGTGAGGAACATGAGAAAAAGAAATTAGGGCTTTATTTTGGTGCAATTCAAGGGATGGTGGTACATCCAGAAAATGGGGGGAATTCAGTGGTGCTCCATTTGGATTGAAAACCCAATGCAACTATTCCAAGTCTGGTGGGACGTGAATGCATTTGAAAAGCAGCTGGCCTAGAGCATGGTGAAGAGAGAAAGATGGGAGCAAGTGAGCAGTGCTATTCTTAGGTGGAAATCCTTCTCTGACATGTTGGCTTTTATTCCCTTGCAGAAGACAGTCCGGATGTACCCCTTCCAAATCCACAGCATTGCACTGTCTACTTTTGCCTCCCTTATTGGGCCATTTGGAGGCTTCTTTGCTAGCGGATTTAAGAGAGCCTTCAAAATCAAGGTGAGGATATGCACTGTCATTTGCAGTAGATAATGTAAAGACTGAACAGTTACTGCCACTCTAAACAGTCTCTCCATGAAGGCAAGTAGGGAGCTTTGGGAAGGGAGAGAATGTTTATTCAGTAACAAACAGAGCAGTGGGGCATGATTCAGTTTTATGGTTTTTTTGTTTGTTTGTTTTAATTTTATTAAATGGATGTGGGGAGAGACCTTAAAATTTCAACTGCAATATTCTAGACACTGCTTTGGTGCTGAACTGGAGGTAGATGAATAAAGCATCCTGACTCAGTCAGGATATTTCGCAGTCTGAGGCTTGCCTTGATGTCTTGCAGGCTGGTTTTAGATACAATCAGTCTCTGTGCAGCTAAGATAAAGGCAGGACACATTTGCAAATGATAAAGATTGGCCTTCCTTGACCTCTGAGTGACGGATCTGAGTTAAGCCTTGATGTTGTCAGGCACTGATGGCTTTCATAAAGGAGAAACTTTTAGAACCAGGGGAGAGATCAAGCAAAATTTCTTCTTAGTCTGACTTTTGCCTTCTGGGAAGAATTAGAAGAGGGGTATGAGAGTGGCACATAAATATACTTAAATAAATACAGGTAATGGACATCTGAAACTTTAATGTAATTCTTTCTGCTTTGCGCAGGACTTTGCCAACACAATTCCAGGGCATGGAGGTATCATGGATCGCTTTGACTGTCAGTATCTGATGGCTACCTTTGTGAACGTGTACATTGCAAGCTTTATCAGGTATTTATTGCTGTCCAGTGAAGTCTGGGGACCTACTCAAACTCAAGTGACATGCAGTACAGGTTTGCAATATGAGACCATTGATATTCCTGTGAGATAAATATCTAAAAATACAAGACAAAGAAAGAGAAGGAAGAGGAGCTTGAAAAGGGAAGCATCTTCCAAAACAATCACATCGAGCTGAAAACACAATCAGTTTCCTAAGCTCTGTTACTCCAGTCCTCTTGCATGTCCCTTCTGCATTCCTGTGAATCTTGAGCAGGGTTTCCCCTGAGCTGATCAAGCAGCAAAATTCTAGTTCTGCTGCAGTATACAGATGTTCCAGAATAGAAGAAAGCCCAGGGATGCACAGAAACTGTACTGAAGGAGATGAGGAACTGAGTTCACGTGAGTGTTTTTATTCTAGAGGAGGAGCATCTATTAGTAGCACAAAATCCAGCGCCCTATTGAAACAGATTAGGTTTGGTTGTTGTTGGTTTTGTTTACAGCTCAGCATGCTGTCTCTTTTGAATCCGTTTCCCCATCTCCAAATTGGATTTCCTGGGCAAAAATATTGTGAATGAATAGGCATTTGGGTTCCCAGAGCACTGAGACTCACTGATAACGATGCTTTTGTGTTTCAGAGGTCCTAACCCGAGCAAACTGATCCAGCAGTTCTTAACCTTGAGGCCAGACCAGCAGCTGCACATCTTCAACACGCTAAAAGCACACCTGGTTGACAAGGGAGTGTTAGTTGGCTCAGAGGATGCATAGACAGCCATGTGATTTGGAACAGGACTGAGAACAGACAAGCCTCCCCATGGAAATTCCTGGCTTGCCTGATTTAAGACAATAACAAGGCCTCATTTCACTGTAACTTTTCTTCCTTTCTTGGTAAATATTTGCATTTGTGTTGTTGTTTTTTTTAAATACATAATAATATATTTATATAGCTTTGGTTCAAATGAGCAAATCTGAATTTGTAGCTGGAAAGGAATGAAGACTTGGAAGAGTTGGTGAAGTAAGAGGGTACAGCTGTCCTTGTGGTCAGTTCTTAATCATCGATGCAGACGTGGGCAGAGCTTTTCGTGAGAGTGGTTTTATGCAGGAATACAGTGTAGTGTCCATACAGCCAGCTCTGCCAGCGGGGAAAGATGAAGCCATACAGCTCCCCTGGGTGCTGTGCCAGGCTGTGTTTGTGATGGCAGCTCTGGAGACCTTAACTTTCTCCAGTGGTGACTGTGAATGTTCATTTTCCTAGAAGGTCACATACACACATGCCTATGTGCAGCCCCTTGGAGATTCTGCACAGCAAGCACAAGGCTCAATTGGTTGGAAGAGGACCTTGTACTAATCCAGCAATAGTTCCTCTGCCCAGTCTGGCATGTGTCTCCCTTGTCACTTGCTGTTTCTGCCAGTGCTTCTCACATTCTCCTCTTCTAGCTGATATTTTGGCTAATAAGATCTTTTTTAACCTATTAAATTGGAAATTAACTGGGGGTAAGGAATTAAGAAGCTGGTAGTTGCTCATGGGAATGTGGGAGGTTCAGATTGCTTCAAAACTGCATTGAGTAAAAAGGTTTTAAAGAACATCTAAGCTTTCATTGAGTAAATCTTGCCAAGTAAAAACAACCTTGTAAATAACTTGGTTTGTTTTTCCTCACAACTTTAAGAAACATCAAACCACACTTTTTTTTTTCTTTTTTTTTTTTCTTTCCATTTCTTGATGGTTGGAAACGCTACACTGGGACATTTTACCCAACTTGGTTTTGTTTCTGAAACGTGCAGGTTGGGCTCCAGCATCACACAGGTGCTGCCAGCTGGATATTTCATTTTTCTTTCAGGGATCATGGCTGTTTGTTACTTGAGTTCTAGATGTTGTGCTGCTGAGCTTTACCATGGTCTGTGTTGCATTTCAGCCTGGGCTCATTTACCTGCAGGCTTCTGTCCTGCTTCGCTTAATGCATCTTGTCTTCAACAGGTTGCACTCAACAGTTGGAGGTTTTATCAAACTATTTTCCTTTATTTTGTCACACGCTTTAATTATTTTAAAGAGCCTAAAAATTGTAAAACTCATTTTCTCTTTTTGTGACCAGATAGTGAAAATATCCCCGACTTATTCTAGGTCTTATGCAGTGTTCTCATGGAGAAGGTGACTGATTTTACTTTCATAATTTGTGCACAAGAGAGAGAAACTTTTCCTTATTTTAACCCAGAGAGCAAGTGTCAGGTAAAGATAATACAGAAGTACGTTGTTTTTTTCAAATAATTGCTGTCATAAACCTTACACAGAGACACTCCCCCCATGTGGATGACTTGTACGTGCTGCAAACCAGCAAGGCATCAGCAGGAAGTAAAACAGCTGCAGCTTTCATGCTCGTGTCATATTCTGATTCTGCTCTTGCTTTCGATCGCCCTGAAAGAGTGGGCAGGAGAGCACAGATGTGCTCCTGTAAATACATGAGTAGGACCCAGTCTCTCTCTTACTTCTGTACAACTCTGCGTTGTAAATTCTGCTTCATCTCCCTAAACAGGAGCTGTGGGGCAGAGGCTTGTGCCCATTGCACTGCAAATACAGGTGTTGATCAAGAGCGTGCGCTGTGGAGAAGGAAGGACTGTTTCCACAGCAGTGCTGGCAAAGCTGCCATCTTCTGGCAGGGTCAGGGCTGATGTTTGGGGTCAGTTCAGGATTGTGTTTCATTAACGCCAACAGCAAAGATGCTTCCCTAGATCAGCTGTGGAGCCTGATCTGATCCAGCCTCAATCAGGCAGGGATTTATTTTGTGTTGACTTGGAAGATGTTGTTCCAGCATCTAAAGCCCTGCATTAGAAAATCAGAGGAGAGAATCAAAGTGCTTCCATCTTGCTTTGCACAGAGAGTAAATTTGGGCTGCATTTTGCTATGATTTATGTGAAATTAGGGAGACCAGGTGAGGGCATTTGAATTGGGAATAGGTGTGGAAGCCACAGGGTGTTGCACAGTCTCCAAAAGCAGCTTTCCCTGTGGTCACACAAGCTGGTGCTCTCCTGGATTCTCACTGCCTGATGGCAACACCTGCCAGAATCCCTTATACTGTGTTGTTGGGGCTGAAGTCTGTCCTCAGAAGATACAGTGTTGATAGATATCACAAAAGTGTACTGCTCTTTATAGCCATGCATTTTTCACACTGGTCTCTAGTCTCCTGCTCATCTTGCTTTAAGCCTTTCGTCCATCTTTAGTCGTAATTAGTGGGGCAAAAAGCCCAAATCTTCGTGCATGCTTTTGGTTTGAAGTAGCATTTGGGCGTTTTTGGCGGTGCAGTGCTGCGCGTGGACACTGGAGGGCAAAGCAGCTGCGCTCATGGCTGCGTGTTGCTCGGAGAGGAGCAGCGCTGCTGTGTGAGTGGCTTTCTGCTGAGCTCAGCTTTCTCCTTCCTTCCTCCCCAGCAGTGCAGAGGATGAGCGTAAAGCTACGCGGAAATGGCGCGCTCAAGTTCAGTTATAACTGAATGGGGCTGCTGCTTCATTTGGGAAATGGAGGAGGAAATGAGAGAGGTGGAGGGTGGTTAGGGGATCTGCAGGCTGGTCTGGTTGAGTAACAGTGGTGAGCATAGCAGCTGTGGCTGGTAAAACCACTTGGTTTCTGCACCGCTGGTGGGAGTGCAGGAGGTGGCTCTGGTGTAGGGGATAATGCTGTCCAGCTCCTAGGGACAGCACTGCTGTTTTGGGGCAGGATTCTGTGGGGTTGCCCCACCACTCCTGCCTGGGAATGGCTTTAGTTTGCTGACCATGTTTCAAGCTATTGCACAGTAGTTTTGCTCTCGGTGAGCTCCATAGGTGGAGCTGTTCCTCCTCTTGGGCAGCAGAGCAGCAAGAGTGAACTCCAGGCATCCACGGTGGTTATCTAGTGAAGAGCATCGGATGGTGGTGCGCTCTGCAGCATTGATGGGCTGTGTGGTTGAGCACTGGGTGAGTTCGGGTGAATCTGCTTCTCTGAGCCTGGCTGTAGGCTGAATGAGCTTCCAGCTCAGCTGCATTCTCAGTGTGAGCGGCAGTGAAACACTGACACCTAGTTGTGGTGTTACATCCTGTTCCCACCTCTGTGCTATTTAAGTCTTGGTGGTGATGGGCTCGGGGGCTTGCTGATGCTGACCTGGAGGGGTCTTTATGTGGCTCACAAAGGCTGCAAATCCCACAGCATCAGCCAGCTCTTGGTGCCAGGTTGGGGACTGCCAGTGTCAGAGGTGTCCGGGTGCGTTCGACGGCAATGCGTGTCCCCATCCCTCCTCCTCTTCCTCCTCTGACCAATTGGTCCCGTAGGAGGAAGGCAGAGCACTGTGGTGCCATCCCTGCACCTCATCCAGACCTCTCTGCCTCACAGAAAGCATCGTGTGAAGGCTCCTGTGGTTCTGCCCTTTGCACCCATCCCCAGCTGCGTTCTGGCTCCTGTAGTGGTTGTGTGCTCCTATTCTCCAGACCTGACCTGGGCATTCCTCCATCTGCTTCTTTCTCTGTGCATCGTTCTTTCAGTTCATGTTTTAGCTACACATGTAGAGTTGCCTTTCTTTGACAGGATGTCCGAATGTGATATATTGTATATTTTAAAGTATTTACCCTATTTATATACTGTATGTTACTGTTAAATAAATATAAGTTCCACTATCTGTAGTGGAGTTTTATTCAGCGCTGCTAAGAGAGATCCTGCTTTCCTCACAACAGACTGATCTGCCTCTCCAATAACTTTCCTATTCCCCATTTCTTGCTTTCCTTCCCAGGGTGCTGTGGGGGGGGAGCTGCCATCAAATCACAGCCCCATCCCATAAAGGCTGAAGGAAGCATTGCCATGTGCTGCACATCCACTCGTTTTGCCCTAAGGCTTTGACTGGGAATGCTGGAATTTCATTTTGCATCAATTATTGCTTCATTTCAGCCATTTCTATTGACTTGTTTGGGTCAGGAGGGCAGAATCCTTCTGTGTACCCCTGCAAAACACCCTATTTTTAGCTCTGCTGTTATTTTGTCTGTTGTTTGACTTATCAACTAACCTAAACCATGCAATCAACAGCTTGCTTCCTGTCATGCTGTCTGCATATTCTGAGTCAAATTCATCCTCCAGCAACACCAAAATATATTCTTCTCTCTAGCAAACCTGCAAAATTGACTCTAAAGCTCCAAATCTTCTGCTGTGATACATCTTCCATGGAGGATTTGCATGGATAGAAAGGAATTTGCTGAACAGCCCTGTGCAGTATTCATATGGAACAACTGCACATGTTAACAAGAGGTCTTGAAACATCCCTCGGTATTGAATCTCGGGGAAATGGGCTGAAATCTCCCTTCTCTTGCATGTTGACAGATTTCATTGAACTGAACAGCCCAAAGTGGGCTGAATTCCCAGTGCACATCCTGGTGTTCTGTACCTACAGGGATGGAAAGCCTCAATCCAGAGCTGTCTGTGCTGTGAGCAGCATTCATGCAATGCTCCTTCCAGACCTATTTCTGATGCACCCAACAGATCCTAAGGAGAAAAAAAAAAAGAAAAAAAAGAAAAAAAAAAAAGAGAGAAACAAACAAAACCAAGTCCTGAGGCATTCCCAAATCTGGAGCATTTTGATACCTGGTGGGACCTGGCAGCAGGGTGGCTCTGTGTGTCTGTGTGCTGCCTGCAGGCTCAGAGCGTTGGGCTGAATTGCACAGGTTTGGGTTGAAGCACTTGCTGTGCTGTTTCCTTTCCGGAGGGAGGGAGGTGCAGCTTCCTGTTCACACGGGGCTTCTGTAAAAAAACAGATTGAAAAGCAAAAAAAGAAGTAAAAAATCAAAGCGCATGACTCCACGACTCCCTTATGCTCCCATTGCTTTCTACAGATAATATTAAGAGGAGGAAAAAATGATGCTCTACATTCTGGGCTCTCTGAGCTCAGCAGAAGCTGAGCTGGCTTCAGCTGTTAATTCATTTTTCAGAATTTAACCCAAATTTCCTGATCTGGCTGTAAAATCAGGCTCCATCTCCTTTCTCGAGGGTGAATTCCTCCTGGATTGAGGCCCTGATGGCAGCTGTGTGCAGCTCAGTGCACCCTGGGTGGGCCAATGGGGATGTGACAGCACAGAACTGATGGCTGCATCCTCTTTCACCCCAGCTCCCCATGCTGCTCGTTCTGCTTCTCCTTGGGGCAACTTCCCCCTCTTACAGGGCCCCATACAGGAGGAGATGGAGGTTGCAGCCCCCCGTCATCCCCTTCTGCCCCAACACCCACAGCGTTTCCCCAAGCAGCAGCTCCATTTTGCAGGCACCACTGTTGCAAACCAGGTGCAAAAACCCTAAACCACCTTTGAGTCATAGAATCACAGCATGGTTGGGTTGGAAGGGACCTTACAGCCCACCCAGCCCCACCTCCTACCGTGGGCTGATTCCCCCCACCAGCTCAGCATGCTCAGGGCTCCATCCGCAGCCTTGGGGCACCTCCAGGGAAATGACCCTCTTGTCACCTGGGGATGCAGTCAGACATTGAAGGACGCTATTCTGCAGCTGTGGTTGCTTTGCTCTGCTGCCCAGCAGTGCATTTCCCAGAACCCTGTGCTGGGCTTTGCTGCTGCGCCGAGTTCAGCCACTTCCCCAAATTCAGCCAACTGCAGCCCTGGGCTCCTGGTGCGGGTTGGGGCCACAGCACTGCGTCCCCACGCAAAGTGGAGCAAAAATTAAGGCAAAAGCAGTGCCTTGGCAAGAGGGGGAAGCAAGGCAAGAGCTTGGCGGGGCAGGAAAGGACTTTTATGGGGTTGCTTGCAGAGGAGGGAGGAGGAAGTAGGTTGGCAAAGCAGCCGTCAGCGGGCCCTCGCGCTGCGTTGGGGGATCAGACCCCTGGCAAAGAGGAGCCACGGGGCCATCCGAGCTCCTCTTCAGCACTTCTCCTAAGCTGCCCCCCCCCGGAGACCCAACGCCAAACCCTTTCTGATCCACGATGTCCCTCAAGCTGCCACGGAACTGGGATTTCCACCTGAAAATGGATGCTGCCAAAATAGGTACCGTGAGTGCTTCTTTCTGCCATTCTTCAGCCTTTTTGGGGTCTGCGGGGTGCTTGCGTTCAAGCCCTGCAGCCATTGCAGCTGCAGCCCAAACCCAAACCCCTTCTGGGTGTCGGCATGGGGACGTGGCCCTGGTGGCTGTGTTGGAGACAGCACATGGTTTGCAAATGATCGGCGAGAAATGCTTTGCAAGAATCTCTTCGCAAGAATTGCTTTGCGAAGCTGCACTGCTGTGCAGTGGGAACACAGCTGGGGTGGCCCTATGGGGTTGGGGACAGAGGGACTGGCAGCATGGAGCTGCTGCCCACTGGAAATACAGGTTTTGAGCCATTTGCTCCTTTTGCTCAAAGCCCATTTGCTCGTTTTGCTGAGCAGGTCTTGCAGGAGGTGGAGCGGTGCAGGTGGAGGAAGCATCCTCGCTCTTTCTCAGGTTTCTTCTCCCACCTGACGTCACCAATTTCCTCTCACCAGAGGTGAAAAGCCCCGTGTGGCTTTGCTGAATACTTTCCTGACTGCTCCCAGGCTTTGCACAGCTCCCATCCACTGTGAGATCCATTGCAGCACGAAAACCACTTTGAAATATTCTGAGGATTTTTCCTTAGGAGGAAGAGCCCCCCATGTTGGGCTGTATGGCCAAAATATCACAGCATTTGGGTCAAACAGCCAAGGAGAAGAGTTTAGAGGTGAAGAAGGAATTCATGAGTGTGTGCAGGCAGCAAAGCAGAGGTTCTTAATGGTGCCAAAACATGGCCAAGGTGCACTTTGGTAGCTTCATTAACCAAGCAGTCTCTGCAGTTCTGAGTTCATCCTAGATTGCACATCAGCTTGCAAGCTCATCTTGGCTGTGTTTTCTTGCAAAGGCTGTTGGGACTTTTATCTGAAGCCTGTTTGGCTGAGGCTGCCAAGCATTGCTCTGCACATGGCCCTGGTCACCTAAAGGTGCTCTGCAACACAAGGTGTGTGTGCAGGACCTGGGAGCTCAGCTCCTTGCAGTGACTCTCATCGCACTTTGGGGTACCTGCTCCTCTGTCTGCAGGGATGTGACTCACGGGTGGAAAATCATCTCAAATGAATCACCATTGCCTTTGCTGGATCCTCCTGGCTCTGTGCACTTCCCTCTGCATGTCACCAGTGGTGACCACAGCTTTAAGAGCCCTGGGACGGAGTGCTGAGTGCTGAGTGCTGTGTGCTTCCCCATGCTGAGATGAACACACACAGTTTATTTCCATTAAAGAGAAAGCTTCGTTTGCAATTCTCATTGTAAAACCTACTGTAGAATGTTTGCTTCTGCTGGGTTTCATTGCACGTCCCCAACATTCCCTCCAATGGGAATGCTTGCACGAGATGAGGATTTGGAGCAGGGACCAATGGTGATGCGGCACTGCAGTGGCACCTGCTGCAATGCCCCCTGCAAATGGCACTTTGGCAGAGCTCCTCTCTGCAGTGCCCAGGCTGGAGGAGGAGAGAGGCTGTTCTGGGGGAAACATTCAGCTTCGGAGGCGGTTACTGCAGGAAATGCTTTGGGGAGTGCAGTGTTTGCTCTCAGCAAACTCTTTCCTACCAGGGATGAAGGGCTGCAAACGCTGAGCCACCTTGGAAATAACTTTACCTCAACCCCACTGACCACAGGAGGTAGAAATATGGAAAAGTGGTCAGTGAGGGACCCACAGCCCTGGTATCTCTGGTTTTGTTTAAACTGAGGACTTTCTACTGGGCAAAAAATAGCAACACTGCTTGCAAAGCCAAGCTCTCCGCAGCAGCTCCCATTGCACACCTCTGTGTGAACTCTGCGGCCAAAGACTGCTCATGCAGTGGGTACAAACAAGCCTGCAAAGCTCTCTTTTGTACTTAAGTCAGCCCAGAGCACAGGCAGAGCGAAAATACACCTGCATGCATCATGCTCACGTATGTGAGGGATCATGGCAGGGCCCCACATGATAGCATGTCTGGTGTTTAGGAAGAGCTGATGAGAAAGCAAAGGGAACACAGTGTACTGCACTGTTCTATCTGCATCAGGGAAGAAGGATGAAAATAGGAACAAATTGTATCTCCAGCAAGGTCTGGGCTATTTTAGCTCAGCAATTTAAGCAGTGTAGCAGCAGCAGCGAGGTCACTGCCTTGACGCAGAGCAGAGCACTGATGCTGTGGTGATGGGCCGAGAGATTGAAATCATCAAAGAAGGGTAATCAAAAGTTCCCTTCTTCATAGAAGAGATGATTTTTCCTTACAATGCAGTACCTGAGCTGGGGAAGATCAATAGAGCTGGTGGATGGAGACAGCTCAGTTGGGATAACAGCATCACCCTGAACACCACTGCATCCCAAATTCCTATCAGCTCAGCTATGAGCATGGACCCAAAACTCACTGCCCAGGAGAGGGTGGCAAATCCCTTTCAAAGGTCCCTGCTCACAGTGTCCCACGTCAGCACCCAATGAGATACGAGTGGCACCTTCACCAAGCATTGGATGCTGATGTTTGGATTCACCATGCTTCTTTGGAAATGGATTTGCAATACTGTGGTGAGCTTGGAGTGCCCCATCCATGCTGAGCTCTGGAGGATGACGGCAGAACTCAGTGGAGCTTTTTGCTCCAGGGGATTTTGGAAGGGGAAGTAGGGCACAATCCTGATCTGCATCATCCCTGATGGATTTGCTAACCACACAGTGATAAATGCAAAATATTTTGCAGCTTCATGCTCCTCACGGGTGCCTATGTAGCTGCAATCCCAAATACCACCAGGCTGCAACGGCTAAGTGTTAATTTTCCATTTTTTAAAGCTTATCTTTTGCACAAGGCCAAGGAATCCCCCAGCACTGGCAGCTCTTGCTTTTGCAGCTCTGCTGACCAACTCAAGGGGGAAAGCATACACTTGGGTTCAGAGCACTGGCTCAGCCACAGCTTCCCTTTATCACCATCACCATTAGCTTTAGCAGGGGACATGTCAGAAGTCACCATGTGCAGAGCAGAGAAATTGAATTCCCCTGCAGTCACACACTTGGTTCCATCCTAAATGCTCCCCCCACTGGGCACTGGGGTCCTACAGTGCAGAGTAAAACCCTGCCAGAAATGATTCTTCCTGAGGCATTTGCTAGCAAAAATAAGAAGCTTTTATAGAGGGGCCATGTGCTGATCCATGGCACAAGATGCATGGGAAACATCCATGCAATAGGAGATGGGGGCACCGCAGTAGGAGATGGGACAGCAGCAAATCCCCCCTTGCAGCCTTGGAAATTTCCAGTCTCACTGCAGGAGTGCATCCCCTTTAGCAACATCATACAAAAGGCAAAACTTCATTTTCCAGGCAGTTTTGTTGCTGGTTTGCATTTTTTTGGGCCAGGCTGGATCACTCTGATCTCACAGCTGCAGCCTGTTTGGGGTGGGGATAAGAAAACACACACTGCCATTAGGGAGAAAGAAAAAAAAAAAGAGAGAAAAAAAGAAAAAGCTTATGATTTTCTTCTCGCTTGCAAGACAATGACTCCCACGCAGGAAAAAGGAAGCACTGGCTGATAGATACTGCAGCCACTTCCTTTACAATTAGCCAGCCAGTTTGCTGGGTGCAAGCAGAGGGGCTGAGAGCTCCCGCTGCTTGAATTGGGCTGGTGCCTCCATCCCCTCCATCCCCTCATCCCCCAATCCTGTCCCCATCCCCACAGCCCGCTCCAGGAGTGTGATGAGCGGTGAGGCCGTGACCCCCCAGCCTGGCCCCCCCAGCGCCATGGAGCGGCCACTGAAGCTGGGTTGGCTGAAGAAGCAGCGCTCCATCGTCAAGAACTGGCAGCAGCGCTACTTCGTGCTGCGGGGCCAACAGCTCTACTACTACAAGGATGAGGATGACACCAAGCCGCAGGTAGGCTGGGGACTTGCTTTGCTCTTTGGGGATGGGGCTGGAGTTTGGTTTTAAAGAGGGTTTGTTGCCTTGGGGTGGTAACAATGATGGGATATCCTCATAAGGATCTTCGTCCATGTGCTGAAATTTGTATGGTGCCCACAGGCATCGCCTGTCCTCCAGGACAACAGACGTAGGCCAGGGAGACGTGGCAGCGCTGTGTTTGGGATGAGCACATAGGGTACGTGAGATTGGACCCATCTCATGGGGTGCTTGTAGGAGAAAGCAAGCAATCTTTTGGTCTTGAGACAGCCCTGACAGACCTCGTGGCTGGGGTGGGAGATGGAGTGAGGGGCTCCTCTGAGGAGAGAGATGAGGAAAGGAAATCTTTCTCCAGCCCTTCAGTTCACATCCTATCCTGGCAGGGGGCTGGGCCACGTGGATGGGGTTTGTTCCTTGGCCCTCTTCCACCCTGCACAGCTGCAGGAAACCTGTCCACTGCCTGCTCCTTTCAGAGCTAGAAAGTTGCTGTGTTTGGATGGTTTTTGGATCTCCAAGAGATCACAGCATGCACATAACCCTGTGCACAATGCCTGCAATCCCTACTGCGGCACGATTTAGGTGTCTGTACCCAATGTCCCCAGCCTTGCCAGCCACACCAGTGTTTGGGTCTCTTATGGGGCTGCGATGAACCCTCTGTGGTACCCACCCAAACCATTGCTCAGGGGATGTGTTGGAATACAATTGCTGGGAGGAAATCAGCTTGTTTTCCCGATGTTTGTGGATAATTTCAACCGTGTTCTCCACACTGTGAGAATTTTCACCACCATCTTTTGCTTGTTCTGGGGGAAAGAGCTTCCTTTTTGCCAGAAAAGATGTTCAGTGTGCAAACTGGTGCCAGCAGCAAAAACAATTCCAAGCTAACACAATTCCAAAGGGGAAAATGATCAGCAGAGCCTGGGGTGAAACAAGGGGCAGACGTGACGGGACAGATACCCTGTTTATGGCTTTTTCCCCTCTCAGAGGTGTTTGGGAAGAGCTGTTTCCCCAGCTCTAAATAGAAATGTAGAAACTGAAAGTGCTGTATCAAAGCTGATTGCTGCTTTCAGCAGCCCTCCCCATCAGCACACCTCGCTTCAAACTGTTCCCACTAACATTCAGCTTAATGCCACCATGTCTGGGGCTCTTGGAGAGCTGATGGTTGAATCCTCGCTGCCCATAGGAACCCAACAGCTTTCAGAAGCCTGAAATTAGGGAGAAACATCACTATTTCTGTCCCTGTAGGCTGCCAATGCTGACTCATACACCCGCTCCATCCCACGCGCCTTGTCTGCTCCCCACCCATCCCCTCCCACAGTGACCAAGCTGTTGGCTCTGTTCATTTGTGAAAGGAAGAACCAAAGGAAACAGCTGCTTTCTGCTTTGCTTTTCTTTTTTTTCCTTTCTTTTTCTCAATTTTCTTCTTTTTTCTCTGCCCCTCTCCTGTAAACTTTTTCTGTTTTGTTTTTAAGTGGCACTGTGTTACATGAAGAAATTTCCTGTTCCAGTGCAGCAAAAAGAGGCTCTCTATGCACTGTCACGTCCCTTCTCCTTTGCACTTTCTTCCTCTATCCCCAACAGGGGTTAAAAAAACATGAGAAAGGAGGAAAACATGAGAGGGGAGGAAAAAACAGAAGAGGAAATCAAACAGTGTTCTCATTCTGAAAATAACTTCAACAGAAAAACTGGCATTTAAGGAGTTATTGCTTGAAGTCATTTTTAGGAAATACACACATATGTATTTATATATATATATATATATATGCATCCTTTATGAAGTTATTTTGAGGATATATATATGTATATATAAAGGAGTTGCCATCCCAGGAGATGTTCAGGAAAAGAGTAGATGTGCCACTTGGGGACGTGGTTTAGTGGGCATGGTGGGGGTTTGTTGGGGTTGGACTGGATGATCTTGTGTTTTCTTCCAACCTTAATGATTATATATATAGATATATATACACACATTTATTTTTAATGAGAAAAACTGCAATGAAAAACTCAGTTTCTGCAATCTGTCTCAAACAAGGGAGTCTGATGCCCAGGACTGACACTACCTCGTGTCACCTCTCAGAGGTGGGACGTGGGGATTGGCAGCTCCTGCTCTGCTTGGTCCTAGGGCTGCCTGTCTCTCCAGGGAAGCACCATCAAGGAGGTGGCTAGCAACCCAGAGGAAGGAGGGAAATTTATCTTTGAAATTATCCCAGGTGAGAATGCTTCCTTCTGTTTCATTGCATGCTTGTTGGGATGGACTGATGGCCCCAAACCATTTGGGCAGGTCATTGTGCCTGCCCTTTTCCTCCCATTTCTTTTCAACACCTCCCCCAGCACTGCATAAAAAAACAGTGTCTTCCTTTCAACATCCATGTGCTGGAACATCCCATGTTGTCACATTAAGCACTTTCTGTTCCCTTCTTAAAGCTTCGGCGAGGCTGAAACATTAGAGAGCTGCTTCCTTTCTCAGCCAAGCAGATGTTATTAGGGAAACCAGGAGCCAAAAATATTCAGCAAAGACAAGAAGAATTTGCCATTCCTACCCCAACCTTCACTATACATGGTCTATAAATGCTTTTTGCAGGGCTCTCTGGAGACCAGAGCCGGGCTGGGCAGGATACCTGTGTGCTCATGGCCAGCTCCCAGTCCGACATGGAGGAATGGGTTAAATCCATCCGACGGGTGCTGGGTTCAACCTCAGGAGGTAACAGGCAGTGGGATCAGCCCTTGGAGGGGTGGTTTCATAGCATCTCACACTCCATGCTGCTGCTGAGCAAGGGTTTCAAAGCTGGGCTCCTAATTCCAAGAAAATGGGACATGCAATGCTTTAGAGACCTTCCTTGAGGCTGGACCTCATGGTGTTAGTCTGCTGCAGAGTTAAGCAAATGGCCATCAGATTTCCCTGCTGCTTTCAACCTCTTTTGGGAGCCTCTTCATTGCCCCGTTGACTCCAGAAATTGTCATTCTTGAGAACAACTCCAATTCCTTCCTACTGAAGGATCCTATTCCTAGCTCCCCTTCCCACTCAATCCATTCTATGGTCAGTGACATTCAATGAATCATTGATAAGCCACTGAAAAAAAGTCTCACCTTCTCCCTGCCACTTTTCCTTCTTTGCTTTTCCCTTTGCCTTTCTCTGCCTGGTCCTCCTTCCTCCATTCTCTCTGCAGACTCTGCCTTGGGCACACCATCACCTGCCCCATGTGATAGATCCCCACTCGTGGTCAGGGAGGGATCAGACAAAACCCATCAGAAGAACACACCTTGAAATTGCCACCGTGGGCAACGCCCACAAAAGAAGCAGCAAAGCTCACTCCAGCCACTCTTCAGTGCACTGAGAGGGAAAGGGGAGGTTCAGGTTGGGTGTTAGGAACAATTTCTTCTCTAAAAGAGTGGCAGGGCACTGGCACAGGCTGCCCAGGGAGGTGGTCAGGAGCTGTGGAGATGTGGCACGTGGGGACATGGACAATAATGGGGATGGGTTGGGGTTGGACTTGGAGACCCTGGTGATCTTTGCAACCTTAATAATTCCATAATTATACAGTTTAATCATTTTGGGAATATAATTGTTTGGAGGATGTCCCATTTTGCTATTATTTCTCTGGGAGCAGTTCCCTTCGCACCTCAGCTTGCACAGCTTTTGGGAGCTCTCACTTTTAGGAAGAAGTGCTGCTGTCCCTTTTGCACATACCACTGAGCACCTCAAGCAAAGCTGTTGGGCTCCTCTAACCCCAGTGTCTTCTTCCTAGCGGTGTTTGGCCAACGCTTGGCAGAGACCATGGCCTACGAGCAGAAGTTTGGGCAGCACCAGGTGCCCATCCTGGTGCAGAAATGTGCTGAGTTCATCCGGGAGCACGGGGTGAATGAAGAGGGCATCTTCCGCCTCCCCGGCCAGGACAACCTGGTGAAGCAGCTCAGGGATGCTTTTGATGCTGGGGAAAGGCCATCATTTGACAGGTAATGTTGATTCCCTATTTTCTGCTCAGCTTGCACACCAAAATCTGGGGAAAAGTGGCCTCTCCCCCCTGCAGGAACTCAGCAGTGCACTGATGGAGACTTGGGGCCAGCAGAAGGGTTCAGCACACAGAGAGGGGCTCAGCAGAAACCCTTCGAAAGGGTTATTATGAGAGATGGATCTGTGGGAGGAGTTTAGGGACACCAGAGATCCACACAATGAGTGTTGTTCCAGACAGCAAAGAAGGCAAAGGGAAAAGCCTACAAAGCACATCAGCTAAGGACAGAGGTTTGGGGAAAGAAGAGCAAGAAGAGGAGTGCAAATATGTTCAGAGAATACCCTAAACCTCACAGAAGTAATTTCTTACCCTGACAGCCCATTGGCTGCTTTTCCCACAGAGAAATAAGAGAGGGATTTTGGCTGCTCAAAAGCTGCTTTCTCCCAAATCCCTTCCTCTGCCGGGCTGAGAAGGAAAAGCAAATCCCCTAAAGCCAAGAGAGCCCCCTGGTGCTGCCTATAACCCCCAGGGAGTCTCTGGGGAGAGGTGTTTGCTGCTTTCGAAGCATAACAATCCCAGCCCTTCATTTTGCAGCTGAGTATTTCTTGCCTTCTGTGTCCCCGACACACTGTGTCCTGTTACAACCTGTAGGGGGGTCATAGGAAGGTGAAGCTTTTATTTTTTTGCATAATGGTGTTTTGCAGCAAGGGAAGTTGGCACTGCTCCTTGTACCCTGCCACGTTAACCCTACAGGGCTCAGATGAGCATCACTGCAGCACCTCCTGTGCACTTCACATAAAATATATCTTCAGCAAGGCCAGTAAAGGGGTTTCCAGAAAGGTGAATACTGCAAGGTGCTGAGTTTGCAGCCAGTTTGGGTTTGCACTGGCACACACAAAGCACAGCATGACTGCGGGGGGAGCCTTGGAAAACTGTTGGTAAAGCCCAGGCATCCAGGATATCTATTGGTAAGCCCTACAAAAATATGGCTCTGAAAAAATTCCTCTGTGATTCTGTGGGTTCGTTTAAAAACCCCAACCAATCCTAAAAATAAATGAGCTGGGAGATTTTTGCTAGAGGTTTATAAGAGTTTAAGCAACTTCAAGGTAGGTCAAATGAGAGACTTACTGTCTTGACAGTATCCTTTTGACATAATGTAAACTACATGGTATGCAAAGCTGCAAACATCTGGCCCAGCAGAACATCTTCAGTAATTGCTGTTAATCTTCCAAACCCCAGGCAATGCAGAGTGGGGAGCTCCTGCCAAACCTGTGAATGCCTGCAGACTGGGTTTGCATGCAAAATTCAGCACAGGTTGAGGATGTGCAGCAGGGAGAATCTTCACCAAGCAGATTATTCGGCGAAGTGGGGCCATTCCCTGACTTGGGGTGCCCTGTGAGCTGCTACTGGCTTTTTGTTTTTCCCTGTTTATAGTTCTGCAGCTCATGCATCTATACACAAAGCATGGAGCAGGGCAGGGATTGCTCGCTGGCTGGGTTTGGGTCTCACCTGTGGCTTTGCAGGGACACGGATGTGCACACTGTGGCCTCTCTGTTCAAGCTGTACCTACGGGAGCTTCCTGAGCCAGTTGTGCCGTGGATACAGTATGAAGATTTCCTGCTCTGTGGCCAGATGCTGGACGTGGACCAGAAAAAGGTACAGAAGTGCATTCGTTTCTCTCCTTCTGGACTTAAAATCAAAGCTTAGGTTTCCATAGCAGATCTAAGGCATGACAGCAGCTTCTGCAGCTGCTGTCCTGTGGTGGAAGGCTCCAGGTAGCAGCAAGGATGGGAGCAGGGGTGTGGGTGGGAGTCAGATGAGTGAAATGCAATGAGAGCTGCCCTGTCCTAATGCTGTGTTTGGGTGGAAAAGCAAGAAGGTACTCGTGGGCACTGCTCCTATGCGCATGAAAATGAGACAGAGAGCATCCCCTGTCTGTGCTGGGTCTCCCTAAGAAATGGCATGGCCACAGTTGCAAGCAAATGCCAGGAGGTGACACCACACAGGGATGGCTGGAGCAACACAGAGCCTCTCTTCAACCCATGTACACCCGTGCATCTTCACAAAGCTGTTCCTTAACTTGCATTTAGGGGCATCAGGACCTCCTGAAGCAGCTGTCTCTTCTTCCCAGAGACAACTACAACCTTCTCAGCTACATCTGCAGGTCAGTCCTTTGCATCAGATACAAACAGCTCCAGTTAGATGGTGAGGAGGAATATCACCCTAAAGACAGGCTGACTCACCATCAGCCACTAGATCCTGACTTTTAAGAGAGTTTCCACCATTGGGCTGAACATCTCAAAGATATCTGAGTGTGAATGCATACGAACTCACTTATGAACTCCTGAGAATATAAACCAGCATAGCTTTTTTTTAACACAAAGCTTTGCATAATGAAGCAGCCAGCTTTCACCCTGAGTGATGTGTGATTTTTCTCTGGTTGTTAAATACTGGATGGATTTTTCCCCTTTTTTCTGTTTTTTTGGGGTGTGTGTTGGCCATCACATGGTGGTTTTCTTACTGCCACCAACAAGACCCAGCTCCAGCATACATTTGTAAGGCACTTACGTTCTTCTATGCTTGGGAATTAGAGGATGAGAACAGAGTAATTGGATATCTAAGGTATCTAAGGCTTTTGTACAGTCTTCTTTCTCTGATTGGAAATGCTTGCCCTTGGGTCCTGATAGGTTTCTGTACGAAGTACAGCTGAACTCCGGCGTCAACAAGATGAGTGTGGATAACCTGGCAACAGTGATTGGAGTGAACCTCATCAGACCCAAGATAGAGGATCCTGCAACTATTATGAGAGGTGAAAGTGACTCCTGGAATAACTGATGTCTATTTAGTATACTGAAGTACAAATTTGCACCCACAAACTTGAAAATTAAAAACCTGAAATTAAATATTTTCTAACCTCAGAAATTGTGTATTCCCTCCAAGGATTTCATGCAATTCAGGAATTTGGTGAATTTTGCTTAGAGAGGTGTGAAATACTTAGAAAAACAAATGAAACTCAGAGAGTCTCTGATTTCTTCCAGGCACGCTGCCAATCCAGAAAGTGATGACCGTGATGATCAGCAACCATGCAGACCTCTTTCCCCCATCCAAGGACGTGCCGCCCTCCCCAACAACCCAACAGAATGACAAGAAAGCCCCCATCCTGCGCAGCTCCGTGGGCTGGGACTCTGCAGAGGACTCCACATTGCCCAGGGCAGAGAGCTCAGTCCAAAGGCAAATGGCAAGGGTAGGTCCTTGGGGAATAAAACAGGAGCCCAATAAATGGCTGGTTAATGACTGCGGGATCAAATGGGTCAGCAAGCCGTATGAGGGCTTGCTATTTATAGGATAAAGAACCGTAACTGTCATCCCTGGAAACAGATCTGGAAAACAAGCTCTTTCCTCTGGAAAACTTACTGTTCTTGGAAAAATGGTTCTTTTACCTAAAGTTTTTTTAGTTAAAAGGCAGAAGAGATGAAGCTTTTTCCGTTTGTGTTGGTGATGTGAAAACATTGAGGGGTAAAGTCTTTTGTCAGAAGGAAATAACCTCAGCAGAGAACTCTTCTTAAAGGAAAACGCAATGTAATCCAAAATGGAGTCACGGAGTGCCTTGGGTTGGGAGAGACCTCAAAGCCCACCCAGTTTCAACCCCTGCCAGTTTCAACTGGTTGCCCCCAAGCAGATCAGGTTGCCCATCCACAACTTCTCTGGGAGCAGTGCCAGGGCCTTACCAGCTGGTAAATGCCAATTCTTATGGACAAGCTGTGGCCATTCCTGCTGTGTGAGTCAACGTGCCCTTTGTCAATATTGAGGTCTCTGCAGTCACTGCCCACAAACAAAATGAGAGATCCTAATGCTTCCACTCTGTTTTGCAGAAAGACAACCCAAGTGCCAGCTGTGCTCCTGGGCTGGCTGTGAGCTCACGTGCACCCAGCGAAGATACTGGCGTGCAACCATCCAAAGATACACTGGGAATGTGGAAAATGCAAGCAAGGAAAAGGACTCAGACTTTACCTAACAGAAAATCCTTCCTGACTGCTGCATCTCCAGGGGAGAAAGGCAGCAATGACAGGAACGACATATTTAACAATGACTTTTGGAAAGGCTCCACACAGAGCAACCCACGTTCTGTGCTCACTGAAGGACATAAGAGAACGTTATCTCATGATCTTTTCAAGCTGCTTGATCTTCACCGGGCTTCAACTTATGACGTGCCCACCTCCCATGTGGAAAGCAGCAGCTCCAGCCCCAGTCCTGCCAGCAGCTGCTCTGATAAGGAATTCCAGCCCTGCCTCAGCCCCTGCCATCAGCCCCAGGAGCCAACCAGCCCTGCCAGCAGCCCTTCTGAGGTGTTCCAGCCTGCTCCAGAGAGCATGGAGCCCCTGCAAAACATGGTCCTGAAGCTGCAGAGAGAAATGGATGCGCAAAAAGAGACTTACGAAGAGCAGATTAAAAGGTAACGTGCTGCCATGCGCTGCTCCAAGGGTTGGTAACATCTTTATTGCAGCAGCAGAACTGCATAGGATTATTTACCAGCAATACCCTACAGCATATAACTGCAATGACTAAGGAAAAAATACAGCATTATAGTACATTATCTCAAATTCAATTCTGTGTGCTGTGCTCTCATGACTTAGTAGTGTGTTACTGCATTGTTGACATTCTGTAGTTCTTATTACATCATTGTATGCTACTATAATATTTTTGCAATAATTACATAGTCGTATTTATCATTATTATACTATTATAGAATCATAGAACTGTTTGAGTTGGAAGAGACCCCAAAAGGTCATCTCCTCCAAACCCCTGCAATGAACAGTGACACCCACAGCTCGATCGGTTGCTCAGAGCATGTCCAGCCTGACTTTGGGTGTCTCCATGGATCAGCGTGCACCACATCTCTGGCAACCTGTGCTAGTGCCTCATTGCCCTCGTTGCACTATCCAGAATTCAATAGCAGTATTATTACTGCATGCAATGGTTGTAGCCATCACTGTAACTACAGCTTCACATACTGTTATCATATCATTATATACCACAGATGTTGATTTCTTGCACTGATGCACGCAGTGATGATCAGGGGATCAGGACAGCACCTCCTCTAGCTTGCTTTACTGCTTAACAGCAGAGAGGTCAGAGTTCTGGAGAGTCAAACTCTCACTTCTCATCTCTCTTCTGCTCCAAACCTTTGTGTTCTGTTTCTGTCTGCAGCCTCGAGAAGGAAAACTACGACGTTTGGGCCAAAGTGGTGAGGCTGAACAAGGACATTGAAAGGGAGAAGAAGAAGTCTGAGGAGCTGGAGCTGAAGCTGAAGAACATGGAGCGCTTGCAGGAGGACTTGGAGAAGAAAAACAAGATGCTTGAGGAGGAGATAAAAACCATTGCTAAATCCAGGAGTAAAAGTGATGCCAAAACCAACTAGGAGATGACATCCAGCTGTGCACAAACATAAAATGCAGCTGCACGAATCCAAAGGAATTGCCAAGCAGGACCTGAGTCAGGGACTTGCGTGTCCAGTGCCCGGCAACTGGCTGTGGGCTTGTGTGGAGGAAGGAGCCTGGAATTTAGAGGCTGGTTTATGCTCTGAAACAGGAAATTTCCAAAATACTGTTTAGCTTTTTCTTGTGTGTTTTTTCAAGTCCTCTTTCAGCTGCTCAAGTTACCTGTAGAACAGGCCGATACCTCGTGCTGCTCAATCAGAACATCTTGCACACAAAAACCCCAAAGCAACGAGAGTCCTTCCTGCCAGCCAGCTGGCTCTGTATTGGAGACACCACCAGTGCTTCTGAGTGGAACAGAACATCCCTAAATCCTGGAGCTGGGAAGATGGAAAACCCCCAAAGTCTTGGGTGGCACAGCCCATCTCACAGCATGCCTGGAAGCTGGGCTGCAAATGCTGTCAGCAACACAACCGAGACATTTGCATCAACATATGCACTTGGTTATTGCTCTTATAGAGCAAGAGAAGCCCAGACAGCTTGTTGTGTCCATCAAGAAACCTCGTGCCCCATCCCTTGTTGTGCTGTGCAAGACTCATTGATAACAAGGCTCCAGCTGTGAAATCACAAAAAACACAACTTCTTCAGTTAAATTGCTCTTCACGCATTTAAACTTGCTGATTCTTACAGCCATATGTATATAAACCCAGCATGGTCGCTGTTGAGGCTTTGGAGTTTCACACACCCGTACATGGAGCTCTCTATCTTTCATTATTTCATCAGGATTCTCTTGGCCCCTTGATGAAACCAGGAAACCTGGGTTTGCAACCCAGTGATGATGCTGGGTCTCTGCCCATCACTTGCTGCCATTGGCATGAGGACTAATCAACATGGCTAATTGTAAACGTGTTGCTTTGGCTGCTTGCTTTTGCACTGCCTGCCACTGAGTCTCCACGTTGCTGCTGAAGCTTTTGTTGTAGGAAAAATAGAACAAGACCCTGAAACCTCATTGATATTTAGAAGGGTGACCCACAACACACAGCCTTGGCCCAGCCAGGGTACAGAAAGGGGATCATCAGGAGTTATCAACAAAGACTTGTAGGACTAAATGCACTCTTTTGTGCCAACCACAATGGAGTTAATGCAAATGGATTGCTGTTTCTGAGGACTTGAAGTGAAAGTTCAGCTCCAGACGGGCTGCAGAACTGCTTGGCAGAGATCTGCAAAGAAAAGAGGACTGAAGAGAGAAAGAGATGCAAAAGAGACTGTGAAAAGAGAAAGATGGGAGTGGGAAAGTGTTTGTAGAGAATAAAAGCCATTATTGGGTACGTAGCACTTGCTGTGGGGGAGTTCTGTAGCCCTGAAGCTGACAACTCCTCAAGCTCAAGCTCAGACATAGTGCATGTATTGAATCTGTCCTTGCTCAGCCATGGTTGGAAAATCCAGGTGAAGAAAATGTGTGTAAGAGTCGAGCTGCATTTAGGAGCCTGACCCATAAACAGAACATTCCCATGAACTCAGACCTCAGAACTCAGACTGGTGGAGTGGGTTGATGGTTGGACCAGGTGATCTTAGATGTCTTTTCCAACATTCCTGGTTCTGTGATCTAGTCATGAGGCCTGGGAATCATTTGGGGAGATGTTTCTCCATCAGGTCCAGGAGAAACATTGTGAGCATTGGGCTGGAAATGCCACACGCTCTTTTCTGTGCAGATCAAAAGTGTGAAGAGGCAAATAATTCCTCCACGGCCCACAGCAAAGCATGATGACGTGGGAAGGCTTGGCTGCAGCTCAGAATGCTGTGATTAGGACAAGTGCACATTAATTTAGTATAAACTGTGCATTCCCCCATTTCCGTTGCAGATAGGCAAAATAACCTCTATCAAACCACAGCTGTTTCTGAGGAGCAGAGTAGCTTCTTTGAAGATATTCTGCCCATTAAAATGTGGAATGTTTATAGTGGTCATATTTAAAAGATAGACTTTCCAATGGAGGTCAGGTGGCCTGGAAATTCCTAAGTGCATGGGGGGAGCGAGCAGCTTCTGAGAGCAGCATGGGCATCATGTGAGCTGATGGGTTCTGTGGGATAAAAAAAACTGTTTTGGTTTGTTTTTTGGGGGGGTTTTTTTTTGGAGAGAGAGAGATAGCAATGGGTTTAGAGAAGCGTGGGTCTGCCCATGACTGACATATAGAAACAGCCCCATGGGTACACCTCTCCACTCAAAGCCTGAACGTTGGCCGTGCCCAAGTCCTGCTCTGGATGTAATGCACTTCCAGATCTTCTGCTGTAGACAGCAGGACATGAGGTTCTCTGAAAACTGACTGATGTATGACCTATGCTTCAGAGCTGCTACTGTCACATAAAAATACATTATTTTTATTTACAAGAGAATAAATAATAATCCCTGTACGCAGATCAGTCTGGTCCTGGGCATCATAGAGTTAGAAAGTTGCATCACCAGAAAGGCTTTTTCAGGCCCTTAGCCATCACACTGCACAGCCACAGGGGATAAAAGCATCCCCTACAAGACAGTGGGAAAGCTTGTGAGATAGCCTAAAAAACACCCATGGGATTTTTCTTTCTCTGTAAGAAAGAAACTTCCAAATTAAAGCAACTAAACCCACAGATCTGAATGCACCTCAATCTACTAAATCATATAATTATAAGGGTTGGAAAAGACCTCTAAGATCTCAAGTCCAACCCAACCCATCCCCACCATGCCCACTAACCATGTCCCCAAGTGTCACATCTCCACCACCTCGCTGGGCAATAAGTGTCAACGCATCACCACTCTAAGATTTTTTTCCTATATCATGCATTATGGAGCGGAGATGTGACTTCTTATATGACATATTTTAGCCCTGCTCTCATTGTCTAGCATTCTTTACACTGTAGCAAAAATCTGTTTTGCTTTTCTTTGGGATTTATTGCATTCATTTAGTAATTCACTTTGTTGTATCCTGGCATTTAGTAGGCGTGAGAGGCAAGAAAGTAAAATTATCCTTCCCACACTCTTCCTGCTGGATCCCAAGCCAGTCACGCTTATGCTGACTTGTCCCCTCATATTTTATCAAAATCACATTTTTGGCATGATAGTAACTTTCCTTTTTTGGCTTGGCTACTGCAGAAAATAGCAAGTTGCAGTGGGAGGCGAGGTAGACGTGTGGGAAATGTGTCCAGCCATTCTTTAGGATGGCTTGTGCAAAGGAAAGGAAAGCAGTGAGAACATGTTGTTCTCTCCAGGAATGAGAGACCATTGTATGTCCTTCCTGCACATACTTGATACCTCCAAAGCAAGTTGATTTTAAGAAGAAGGCAGCTCTTAATTTCAGCCAAATACACAGCCTGAGTGATGCGAAGTTGGGTGCAGTTTTCCTGACTGTTAGGCTCAACCTTCAGCACACAGCAAATCCACCAAGATGAAAACCCCAATAAGCAGAGAGCTCAGCAAGGAGGCAGCATCTTATTTACCCCCTGTGTGAGAGGCTTCCAAAAAAGCCATTTTTCATGCATAGCCCTGCCCAAAAGGGTGCCTAGGTGCCATCAACACCTTCTGAAAATTTGCTTTATCGCATATAAAAACACAACATGATATTTCAGCCCTCTTCACACCACACACTGTTAACAGGAACTGGGAACAGAGAAACGTTCCTTTAATGTCGTCAGCTGGCCGTGATGCTGTTTGCCACGTCCAGGGAGATATTTCCAAATGAGAGCATTTTGGAAGCAGCCAGAGAGGTGAGGACAGACTTTGACCTCTTGTTAAAGAAGTTGAGATTGGTTTGGCATCTGCTTCCCAAGCATGTGAGACGACGATTTTTTGCTCTTTCCACAGAAGTATTGCCTTGTTTCCTTCCTCAGCTTCCTCAGTGACAAGGACCAAGCACCCCAAGGACAGTTAGAATCATAGGAAAAGTAGAATCACAGAATGACTTGGGTTGGAAGGGACCTCGAAGATCCTCCAGTTCCAACCCCACTGCCATGGGCTGGGTTGCCAACCACCAAATCAGGTACCTGATCAGGTTGCCCCATCCAGCCTGGCCTTGAGCACCTTCGGGGATGGGTATCCACATCCCTTGATCTGTTCCCAACACAACAGCTTCAGACAATACCTGTGAGCAAAATGTCAACTGTCCGTGGAAACTGTGGTGCTTCCACACACATACGTGGAGTGGGAGAATCCTTATTTCTCACTGACTTGTTGCTATCCACTGTGAACAAGTCTGAAATGTGGATAAATAGCATTTACAGGCTGCACAGTATACAGGCTTACAAACTCACTGTTGCCATGGGACTGGATCTTTCCCCTAGCTGGCAGTGGGAGGAAGTTGGCTTAGGGTCAAGGATGGCGCAAGAAGTTACAAAAAAGCTCCAGGAGATTAAATTGCTGTCATCCACTCAGACCTGCTTCTGCTCACTCAAATATAAAGCTTTGCTAATAATGGCAAGCGGAATTGCTTTTAGGAATAAATCATAGAAAAACCTCCATTCCATTATATCAGGATACTCAGAAATCCCATTCAGGAACACCAACCAAGGCAAAGCCCCCCCAGCATCCCATCAAAACATGGAGCCATGGGCATCTACACTGTCTTTTTAGGACACTGACGTCGCGCTCAAGAGATTAGAATGCTTTTTGCTTGACCTTCCACATACCATAGCAGTCCATCCATTTAAGGTACCTGCCAACCAAAGCCGTTCTATGAATCTATGATCCTATTTTATCTTGGATGCCAGTGAGCGAGGAGCCCATTGCCATTAAGCTGAGCCTGCATCAGTGCAAGTCTTGCAGTGGTTTGGCCAGGAAAGGCAAAGAAGGTTGCAGCAGATGACTCAATGCTCAACGTATGAGTAAAAATCATGAGTTCTTCTGCCTTGACAAAAGTCAGATTTTTGTTTTCCAACACAGAAGTCTTTGAAAATGTTTGCACCATGCAGAACCAGAGCCAGATGCGCAAGTCTTGGATCCCAACATCTATAAATATTTGGAATAATAACTAGCTTGCCAGACTTGCGAGACAACCCTTCCTGCCTGTCCTGGAGCTCGTTAGCCCCCCCCAGGCTGTGCCAGGAGATGCATGCCCTGTTAAGCACAGCCTGAGCTTGTAGCTCAGGGCACGTTGCTTATCTATATTGCATTAATAAGGGTGGACAGAGGAAGCACAAGACATGCAATCTATATTATTAAGCTAAATCTGTTTTCAGCCTTGATTGGCAAAGGGGGGTGAAAAAAAGCAATGCAAGCTGGAGAAATCCCAGGGAGAAAGCTGAGTGTGTCACTGCTTTTCCAGCAAGAATGATTTCAAAATTGATGCAAGCTTATAAATGAAATTCTAAAAGGAATTTGGACTGAAGTGGTGCCATGCTACTTTGTGCCTACTCCAGCAGCAACCAGCTGGTGTAAGCCAAAATAAACCACTGCAATGTCTCCACTGCTAGATCAGCCCTTGGCACCCCTAAATGTGCCTCAGCTTCCCAGGGACCCCCACTCCCATTTTTGGAGGAGTTTAAATTGGGATGTCCCAGGGTAGATCTGGTGCAGAGCAAGCACAACAAGCAATAATAAGTATTATAAGTAGAAATGCTAGGAAGAAATCATTTTTCCTACAGGAAAATATTCATTCTGCACAGCTCAGCTGGGTAACAGTAAAGGCCATAGGGCTCCCTGTATCAGGATCCAAAGCCAAGCATCTAAAATCTGGCAATGGTATAAGTATATTCAGTATTGCACAACAATTAGTTTCATTTTCCCACCTTTGCATTTCAACTCTGCCTGATTAGCCCAGTGGTGACAGCTCAGGAAATGGATTCCACCAAATCTCACAACAACTGATCTGAAATGCTGTAATCTACAGGGCGATAAGGAGTTGCTATAGCAAAGCCAACATAAACCTGAGTGCTATGGAAGGTTGGGTTGTTGTTTAGCTCTGTTGCTAGTTAGCAAGCTGTGCCTGATTCCAGGGACCACCCTGTGTTTAAACCTTCTCACTTCACACGTATCTTTTCAGCACCATCCTGGACAGCATCAGCTGCACGGAGCTGAAGGACGTTGGGAGCTCTGCATCACGTTGAGCATCCCTTGGCCCAAAGTCACTGTGGGCAGCAGCTCCTGCAAAATGTGGTTGTGCTGATGTTGGATTCATGGTATGCATTTGCTCCTTTAAAATCAAACACTGCATATTGTTTTCGTTGGTCCTATCTCATAGAAAATTTGTAGTATTTGGAGCTAGGGAGAAAAAAAATGCACTTCTTTTCCAGCAGCATTGCTCTGTGTCACGGAAATCCATTCCTCTCATATCATTTCCTTTATTGCAACCATGTTGATTGCTTTTATCCCCCGCATTTCCTTTGTTTACTTAAAAAATGCAATCAAAGGTCCCGCAAAGCCCTTGCAATGCCGAGCAGGGGGCTGATCAATTTGCCTCGCACACAGAATCGTGTTGGGCACACATCCAGCAGTGTTAAACAAGCATGCTAATTTCCTATTCCCAATGTATGCTCATTTATTTGGATGTGATTTATCACCCTTGGTGATATATTATTACAGCACACACATTAACAAGTCTGCTTCTGAGTTTGTCCTTTCCAAAAAGTAGCTCCATTTGCAGGAGTAATGCAGCTGTATCCTGAAGGGTTTTGTTAGCAATCTGCTCAATGGAAGGGGCTGGATGCAGACAATTTCACAGGTCTTTGCTGGCTGAAATTCTGCTTTCACTGATGCCCAAAGTGAGGCAGTACAGTCAGTTGGCATGCATTTAGCATGCACCTGAAAGCAAATGTGCTTTGTTGCTGCAGGAGCTCTTAGCAAGACCTCAGCATGTATCACCATCCACTATTCATCTTCTTGATAAGGGTATCAAAAGGTGGAGTTTTTCCTCTGTTTCCATCCAGGAAAAGCAGCAGTAACTCTAACAGCTGCTCTCTCCACAACTTTTGGTTGTGTTTCCCCAGCAAGATGCTCCTGTGCACGCACAGCAGGCACACTACGTGCTTCACGTCCTACTCCCCAGGGAACAGCTTGCAGCGATGCAGGCTTAGAAAACACGTGTCTGATCTGAGCAATAGTGGGTGGGCAGTGCTGAGGGTCATGAGGAAGAGCAAGGCAATGGGTGGATGAAGGAAAGGGAGGCAGGGCACTCACCAGCTGGATTTGTTCCCAAGGTCTTGAGGTCATTTGGAAGCATCTCCTTCTATTGGGACGTGCAGGAGAGATGTAACACTGACAAACCTGCCTGCCCACTGGAAATTACTGGCTTTGGGCTTTACAGAAAGGGAGGATCTCTGCTTTCTTTGTTTTTTTGTTTTGGTTTGGTTTTTGGTTGTTTTTTTCTCTTTTTTTTTTCATGCATGTTTCTATTTCATTGGGCTTGGAGAGTAAAGCATAAAATCTTAAAATCACTGAGGTTGGAAAATGCCACTAAGATCATCAAGTTCAACTGTCAACAGAATGGCCTAGGTTGGAAGGGACCTTAAAGATCATTGACTTCCAACCCCTGTGGCTTTTTCTTTTCATTGAAAAGATGATTTTAAGAAGCTCACCACAGCAGTAGTTTTTATAGTCTGTTTTCATTAGGAATGTTAGGCCACAAACTCAAGTCCTCATTGGGTTATGGCTGTGCCAATGCTATGAGTGCTTTGCATGGCAGCTTGTTAACTTGTGGCCACAAATCAGTTTCATTATGGCTGAAGGAGGTTCAGGATGTGTGTATTTGGGCTTTCATCTGACTGTATTTAGACATCCACACTCTAGAAATGAGAGAAAAGCCACATTATTTCTACCTTAGTCTTAGAAGTTTAGGGCAAAGCATGGGCCAACATTTGAGGCTCTCTGCAGCAATACCACCTCCTTGACCGCTCTTCACTCCTGATGTTGCCTGTGCCAGAAATGCACGTCTCCATCCAAAATGCCTGGGCCCAACAGTAATATTCAACAATAATATGCTCCATATAATAAACATCTTCTTCCAAGGGGTGTTGATAAGAATTTCCATTTTTAGTCGAGGGCAAACAAGCCATTCTGCCTTTATTTGTTGCTGTTGTAAATGAAGAAGGAGCAGAAGCTAATTTTGTAACTTTTCCTGTAAATAGTGCATTAATGAAGACAGATGGGTCAGCAATATAAACAAAACCTCTATCTCAAGCTAGTTTTGTTCTGGCTTTGTTTCCCAGCATAGTAAGCAACCCACCGCCACCCCAGTTCCCATCCTATTAACAGTGTTTGCACTCCAAATGTTGAACTGGGTTATAAGGAAGTTTAAATTAACCCTGGGCTGTAGTTCTTCAAATTCTTGAAGCAGATGTTCAAGTGCCAGGAAATCCTCCTTCTCTTTTTTTTTTACTGTTTTGTTCTGTTTTGCTTTTTTTAAATAAGTGATAGATTTTGTTGGCGTTTGACTTGGTGCAGAGGTTAGAAAATACTTCACTGAATCCCTTCCATTGGGCTGGTAGGTAATCCAGGCACCAAAATGCCAATGTAAAATGGACAATGCAGTATCTAGAGGTAGGGAGAAGAAGATGGGAGTAGGTTTGGCTGCAGCTTTTGATTGCTTTGAGAGATGGTTTTTCCTAAGTGACCTCAGTTTTGGGGAGACTGAACCTCATGGCTTTGGCTCCAAAGGTGCTCCAAAGGTCAATGGGCATTGGGAAGAGTTATAGGGTTAAAATGGTCATGCAAATGTTGAAGAAGTTTGGTTCCACATGCAGAGAGCTTAAGATAGAAATCATATCTATATTATATAGGTCATAAATGAAAGGAAGAGCACATTGCTACTTAAGGTGAAAAACAAACTCTTTTAGAAACAGAAGTCATGGTGCTAATGTGGATGAATAGGAGGAGAGAGGAAAGAGTAAAGAAACAAAGAAAAAGAAAGCATGCACTAGAATGCTCTTTC